GATATGGAAAGCGAAAGAAATGCCAGCGACAACTAAAGTGTAAACCTCCATCATAGCACCCAACACCGGCAACAAACCCCGTCAAGAAAAAAAACAACCACCGTATCTGGAACTTTAAGGATCAAGTCTTTACGAAACCTTGTGCCCTATTTGGAACGCATAAGAATGGAAAGAAGGAAATAAACTCTATATCACTTGAGTTTAAAATCAAAAAAAATTTGAGAGGGAATGTAGTGGCTTTTTCACTGGTTAATGTGTGTCATTGTGTAGATGAACTCAGGAGTGAATGACAAAGATAAGTCGAGCGAACAAAAAGTTGTCTTGTACAAATGTAAATATACAAAGGGGTGGGAAGTTTATACACAGAGGCCGAATGACCACACATATACAGTATGTCATAAAAAAGTCATGATGCTCTGAAAAAGTGAAATTCTGTGGCAATTAATGTTAATAAAAGTAGTAATAATAATTTCATTATTCCAAATAATAATTTTGATGCAGAGGAGAATTAATGTAAGAACAGGGCTTGGTCACTGAGGTAGAGTATAATTCCACCAGAGAATAAATTTATTTAATGAAAGCATCCGTTGAGTGACTGATGCAGTATCCTTTACTGATGACGTTTTCAGTACAGTTTATCGCTGCTCATAGTTATCATATGAACACATTCACATTACTTTCAAACTACGTTTATATAACTCCATTATTTCTTATCCTTTGATTTTATTGATAGTAATAATTCCTATATCTCCGGTATTTGCATTGAGTTATTCCTATTTCACATGTAAAGTTACTTGCAGATTCAATGAAGATAGATAGATTCAGAGATCAATATCTCCCACTGCCTACCTTTATTACTTTTCAGACCTGTAAGTGGCTCTCTGTGTGGTTGTGTCTTACTGAATGCATTGTGATTGCTGTTTTACTTCTAACAATTCATCTTCGTCATCAGTAAGGAATACTGTATCACTGTGCGCTCTCATTAGATACGTTTGTTCTATGATTAATGAATGAGTAGAAGAGTGAAAAAGCCTCAATCAAGATAACACGAGACAATGGATATACGTCAGCGATTAAATCCAAAGGGAGGGGAACTTTCGGTAGCTCATGTATTGAAGGCTTTCATCCATAAGCAGTATACAATTCCTCAAAATTATTAGACTACATCATTATTTATTCAACATTTAATGATGACTTTCACTATTTAAGTCGATTTGTTGGGCTGAAGGTTCACCATCAACCATCCACACCATTCGTCACGCTGTTTTTTTTACGTTTGGTGGTTCATGCATGATCGCCAGCTAGGTAGCCAATCAATCATCATCACACTACAGTTCTCATACCGAAATATATGGCGTATTTTGGATGATCAACTTGTTGTTTTGATTTGTCTTTGGTCTGAGCAGAACAAGTACTGTGGGAGTTACATGACAGGTAGAAACTTGCCTTTATATACAGTTTATCTTGCGAAAACGTCGGCATTCCTTCATCTCCTCACAACAGTATTTTGTTCCTCGATGCGAAATGAAGTATATGCTATTCTCAGATTTCACTAAGAAACAAAAAAGCAAACATAACGGGTGGAAGATGATATTACTCAACAAAACTGGGGACTTCCCCCTTCCCAAACACACCAAGTAAATCATCTCTATTTCTTATCACAAGTTTCCATCAAAACCGCCATATAACCTCAAAGGAGACAAATAACTCCAAGACATGGGAAGTCATTCAGGTTTCAAGGGTAAACTTTGGAAACAGATAAACTTTAGGCTTAGTCTTTCTCCATCTTCCTTTAACTTCCAACTACAATTTAGAAGGAGAAAAAACAAACAATTCAACTTCTCTTATCCAAATTCATATTTTGCGTGAGAATATAAATTTTCTATATTCCTAAAGTATAACTTTATTGCGTAAGAAATGAGTTTGCATGTCAGCTGGCAGTCATACTGATTGAGTGAAATGCCGATGTAAGATAAATTTCAAAGGACAATTATTTATTATTGTCTCCAATTAATTCTTCTTCTTCCCCTTCTTCAAACACTCCACTTATAAATCCATGAAAGTTAGAATAACACAATAGCCAGTAAAGGCGAATCAAAAATATACAACAGAAACTCTATTCGGTTGCAAGTGGACATTGAAGACGAAATTCAATCAGATGACTGAGTCATTTACGGTTGTATATCGAAGTGAATCTATCGACAGCTTTAAGAATAAACCCCGACAAAATGTACATATGCATCTTGCATGTTTACCCTGACCAACCTACTATAATATCATTACTGAAGTAATCATCCCATAATTTCATACCTCATTATGCTCTTCTTACTCCCCTCCACCGAATTTACTTCACATCATTATTATTGTTTCTATTTCTCACCCTCTGGACTTACAAAAAGCTTATCTCGTCTCCATTATTTGACCACATGTTACTGACATACATTTGCTATTTGTCATCACTCAAACTTACACTTACTCAATCGTCCCAAATATTTGACTGTATTTTTTATATGGTATTCATATTTCTCTCACACGCCTGAGTATAACTCACCCCCAACCCATTTCCTTATGTATACACAAACAACTATATTACCATTTAATCGTCCACTCACATTTTACCCCATAACCTAAATGACTGTGCATTTTATATGCATTTAATTGACAATCAGAACCAATGGAATACTTTTTACGAATAGATCAGGAATTGATATCAGTTAGAGAACAATTGAAAACCATCCTAGTTTGGGAATCACCGGCAGTACACACCCACTGGTTAGAATTCATGAGCCATTGAATCGGGGTCCCAGTGGCTGAATGGTATACGAGCTTGCCTTGTAACTAGAAGGTCGTGGGTTCGAATCCCAGTGGGTGCGTACTGCCGAGGATTTCCAAACTAGGATGAAACAGCAGCTGTCCAATACTCCCTGGTTTTCAACTGTTCTCTAACTGATATCAATCCGTGATCAAGTCGTAAAAACATAACTAACCCTTACAAACCAAACTATAGAAAATCAATGGAATACTATCATATTCCATGCCACCTTATGCCTTCATCCCATCAAATAAAGATTCTGAAGTAATCTCGATTTGCCTCTACTAACTGGGTATTCATGGCTTCATACCTAACTGTACAGCCTATAGCACAAGTTACGGGAAACAGTTGTTCACTCAAGCTTTGTCTTTCTCTTAAATCACTATGCAGATATTAACTTTATTATTACTACTACTTATAATCAATATCAATTTTAATAATAACACTAATTTCAACGATGACAAAGGTACAAGCAGTTTGTTCAGATAGCGACAAGAATAATGAATGATGTTTTTCTCAACACTGAAGCTTTAAAATGAAAAGATGCAAAAGGTGTATGTGGGTTGAGTAAATTGTTACTCGGTTACTCATGGAAACGTGTGTATGTGTGTGTGTGTGATAGTATGCTCAGAATAAGTAGCATAAAAATGAACACTGGATTTCAAAATAATTGATCATTATTAATAATACTGAATATAGACCAGTAGATGTTCATGATTACCTGTTGCAAAAAATGAATTTTATTCGGTGTGATTGAGTTATAACGTCAAATGTCTTCAGCTATAAATTCCCATTGCTATACGGAAACTTAGTCAGACAACGGAAAATTTTTCACGGTTATGACCAACACTGAATGGCTTCATGAAATGATGCCAATCCGTAATCTAATAAGCTTGTCCACTAACAAAAAAAAGAAGCAGTTTCCTGGAGTTCTTGTGAAAAGTCGTGACCAGTGAGGTCCATCCAGTCAAATGTGAGGATAGATTTCCTACCGATGACATTGTTTGGTGGTCGCGCTAAATCACGAATTAGTAAAAGTTAGAATTCATGGCCTGGCTACTGAATCGGGTTTTAGTGGCTGATGGTAAACGAACTTGATTTGTTACGGGAAGGTCCTAGGTTCGAACCCTGGTAGTGGGTGCGTACTACCGATGATTCCGAAATTGTAATGAAACACCTGTCCAGTACTCTCTGGTTAACAGTGGTTCCCTAACTGATATCAATCCGTCGTCGAAGTAGAAAAACAAATCAAATCCTCACAAATAAACCCTTGAAAAGAAAATCCTCTCAAAACTGAAGTAATCATCCAGTTGCCTTTTTCCCAAAGTGAATAATGGTATGAGGGTTAAATTTAGTGGTTTTTCACCTGTTTTCGAGAGTTTTGTCCTATATGTCGGATTTATATTGCTATCTTGTAAAAAACTACGATCTGGTCACAGTGTTGCCCAAACATACTCATTTCGAAGAGAGATTATCACAAAAACGTAATGCATTCATCAAAAAGATCTCGCAGCAGAAGTGCACTATAACAAAATATAAGAAATAAGATAAAAGAATGAGAAAAGAATATTGATTTCACCTGGGTATATATGCATGACGCCATACTACCATAGATTGATTGCAGTGAGTGGTTGATTACCAATCACATCAACCAGTAGTACTTTATAGTCAGATCGAGGTCAACTTAACAGCGGAGAGTAATTTTGCCAATTCGAGGTCCAAGCTCACTAAACGTTAAACTCAGCTCAGAGAAAAGAATCAGTTCAAACAACTTAGATACCAACTAGCTATTTAGAAGAACTGGTAATATATATAATCAAACTCACGATTTTCAAATTCATTTGCAGTTTACACAGTTCACGGTGGAACTTCAACACAGTTTCCTGTGGAAAGTAAAACTACTCAGATCACAATATGGGATCATCTCGATACCGTAAATGGCAATTGAAGAAAGAAAATCGAGAATTAATTTACAAATTGAAATTTTAACTCATATCACCTGGGATTACACAATCATTTATTCAACAAATCATATACAGCATAGGATTCACTCGGGCTTTGTAGAAATCTAAAAGTTATCCATCAGCAATGGACACACAAATCCACAATGAATACCTCATACACACAAGTTGAGAAGACTTTGGAACATGCAGACATACCGACAGAATAGAAAAGCTTAAATGATTCCCACACTCACCACGCCTACCTTCACGTAATCACGTATAAGTCTCTGTTTTCCGAAAATCTTAACTCTGAGCTCAGCGAATAACACTTTCATATAGGAAAAAAATGAGAAAGAAACAACAACACGAAAACAGATTTTATTTCATTTTCATTTTGTTACAAAAAATGGAGGAGAATGAATTTTTTTTTCAAATAGCGAAAACAAAAACAAAACAAGAGGGTGAATAGATGAATCATCATCATCGTCATCATCAGCAGTAGAAGAAGAAATGACAATACAAATACACGAATCGATAGATGATCGAAATTACAATATAATGACAACAGTAACAGTCATCAGGATACAGGCGAGTAGTCATGTCAACAGATCTATTTTCCTTTAAGATAGTAAAGTGTAGTTAAAGACAACTTACATGCATATAAATATATGTATGTGTCACGTCATGTACACAGGGTAGTCGGTAGAGAATATTATACATGACATATATAAAAATATTATCAAGGAAAAAAACATTATTGCGTATAAAAACATATTTTTTATGCCAATAAAAATAAACAAATAAGGTAATTTTTAAAAAAAAGGGGGTTAACAAAAAAGAGGACTATACATTCTGGTGGCGTTGTTGTTATTATTGTTATCACTAGCATTAGTACTATTTCTCATTGTGGCACAAAAAATCATCACAGAATAGCTTTAAAAATAGAGACCATGGTTGGTTAGAGAGAGAGAGACGCCGAAAGACACTTCTGCTGTCACGTTACAAAACAAGTCGACTAGTCATCACCATTAAAGCAAGTGAATTAGTCATCGCATTTTGTTATCGTTTGGTTATTTTCGTCTTCTAACATTAATGAAATCTATGCTGTTTGTTAGTCACCACTGCACTTAATTTGTCGACAGCAAATTACAGATAGTTGTAGCATGCTGAGAAATTACATCGTAATCGATCAAGCCTAATTGTGTGATTGACATACGACTTCTAGCGCTTGATTTACGCCCTGAACGATTTGAACCAATGTGTTTCAAATTAGCCTGCATATCATTCAACCTCTTCACTGTATTCATGTTGGATAAATCCTAAGATAAGAAAAAAGTAAAACGACAACATGATGATGATGATGTGAACTCCGACAAGAAATTAGAAACAACACAGAATTTAATCATTAAGTACTTATTGCTTTGTGGAGATTTGATTGATTTCAGATTAGATCACAGATCAGCATCATTCAGGGAACTGTTGAAAACCAGGGAGCACTCAGTAACTGCTTTATCTTAGTTAAGGACTCTCCAGTGGTGTACATGACCCATGGCCCCACCACCAGGGATTGAACACAGGATCTTCGAGTCACAAGACGAGTCCTTCGACTATTCAGCTACTAGGACTGGATCCAATAGTTCAAGAATACCTACTTTTGATGATATTAGATGGTTGGAGGCAATCGGTAGGAATTCTTGGATTTAGGTTTCGTGCTAGTTGGCACTTGTCAGTCTGCACCAAAGAAAGGACTAGAAACATCACACTAGTTACTAGTATCTAATCAAAATACCTACTTCTGCCGATCTGCGATATGTGGTGCCACAACTGCTGAAGACTTCCGAACTTGGAAGACATAGATGCCTAATACTCTCTGGCTTGTATTTTTGTGTAACTGGTGGCAGATTCTGATTTAACTTGATAACTAGCAGTAAACAATCAGAGTAAAAAAGGGTGATAATTACTGATTAATTTGTCTCCAATGCAGATATAACTGAGGTAGACATCAGACAAATGAGAAATCTCGCACATTGAAAAAAAGGGGCTACAGCTATTTGCTTTTTACAAGTTTAATAAGGAACAGTTGTTAAATTAAATTAATTAAATAATTTGGAGATAAATTTTGCAGAAAGTATTTTTTCTGCATTCTCAGTCCTAAAAATTCAATTTAAACAAATGCCTATGCCTATCAATAACTAGTATGAAAGTGATGACTTCTGAATCAATGGAAAAATATCATTATTAATGTAAAAATGACATAATATTTTAGGAATTATTGATTTGATTGCTTTTTGCAGTACAACACTGCAAACAAGTGTGTTGGATGGGAAATCTAAAGGAAAATATTTTGGTTGGTGATGACTAGCAGTTGAGTCCAAGATGCGGGATTTCTTCCCATTTGGACTACGAGGGACTAGTGGGTAGTGTATTGGAATCAGGAACCGTCGGTGCTGGGTTTGAGTCTCTGTAGAAACACCATCAGATGACGAGTCCCAAATAAGACGGGATGCGCATCCTGCTTCCCACTGCTAGTCACCACCAACCAAAATAACTTTACATCAGTCCTTAAACATCATTGAAGCGTCTGTACTAGGCGCTGACTTTTCAAAAGAGAGAAACGTTTTCAAAGATATTTCACAAAGTACAAATTAATCATTGGTAAAACTGTCTTTTCAGTAACTGGAGTAGGTTTTTATTTTTTTTCCCAGTGGGACATAGGGCCTCAAGCTAGAACTTTGGAGTTTCGGTAGCAGTAGTGTTTCTTTTTACGGGATGGGTTGCTAGCCTCATGCCCAACCTCCTTACTTTATCAGTCTTATAACTGACTTAGCGAGGTAAAAGAGTGTATCAGTCGGGGATCGATGTCTACTAGGCCGTATTAATGGTCATATCACGCAGAGGCTAACAATACCTGAATTGGAAACTGAGCTTTGTACTGTTAGGTGCTATGGATCACTGTATTAATGCCCTTATTATTAGCTATTATCAGTATTGCAAAGTAGAAAAACATATAGATCGTCAAAACTAGGACGAAACAGCTGTCCAGTAATTCCAGGTTTTCCAGTGGTTCTCTAACTGATGTCAGTTCATGATGAAATCCTCCATCCAATCAAAAAAAATCTCTACAAAACCAATACTTGGAAAATATAGATTGTTAGAAGAATGCAAACTGTCCGAAAGCACGTCACATATTTACATGAAGTAAGACTCTTAACGACATAATCAGCATAAATGATATAAAGGGGAAAATTGAGTTATTCATAGTGAGTCATCCAAACATTTAATCCATGAGGTTGTCACATAATTAGCGACATTTAAAAAATTGTTTACCATGGTAGTCACCAGAATCACTAGTCATCACTAAAATGTAAATAAACAGCAGCTTACCTGACGTAAACGATCATCGACTAAACAGAGGGCACGTAATGCTGCTAAGGCAGCTTCTTGAACTCTTCGATCACCATCTAAACATCCAGTTTCTAAGAGACTGTTTCAAAGAAAACAAAATCAGAAGCAACACAAATGAAGTTGGTACTAATGAACTGCTAAGAAAAAAAACAACTTAAGAACACAAGTAGCCAGCATCCTTGTTCCATCTTGGTGCTTCAATGAAGAAGACTGTTATTGAATATACTAAATAGTTCATATATATTACTGATATCTTTGATAATTCCGCTCTTAACAAACTCAGAGGACAGAAAAAAAACAACGGAATGAAAAAACTCAGTAGTGGAAAGTTAGGAATTATAGTGTTCATGTCAGAAATTCACTGAATTGCCACAGAACGTAAAATACAAGGACAGAGAAAGAACGACTCTGATTTAAACTGGTGAATAAAAAACAAAACAATTATCAAACAGTTGAAAAGCGTTAGTAATCTCTATGGTTAAATCAAAGATATTTTGATTAAATTGAAGATAAATTTACAAAGAAAATTATTATTACAATAACAAAGCCATATTCGTGTACTTAGCCTGGCATCATTCCGTGAAATTGTGGACAGCAGGTTTGAGCCAACAAAGTGGAGAGGTGTAGAGTGCCTGATTGGCGACATCAGGATCCTAAAAACCATTGGTTGACGAGTATTGGTGATATAGCTCGAAATCATTCTCCATGGGCGCAGATGCATTCCCTCTTTGTAATCTCCCAGATCAATTAAACCCTCATGTTTTTCCATGTAATTGTTCTTTCTTCCATATATTTCTGTTCATTATAGTTCCATTGAATCTCCTTTTTTCTCTCTCTATTTTCTCTACATTTGTGTGCTACATGGAGTGCGGCAACAAGAACTGTTTCACTTCTTTGCAAGGTTCTATGTTAAAACTTAGTCAGTCAGTCTCCAACTGCTATTGTTACAGATTTTATTCTATTTATTTATCATTAAAGTGTTTATTTCATCCTTGAGACTTGATTCTGTTGACTGACTTAATTTCTCATTAGTGTAGACCTGTTTATAAAATTGAGGTGTTTCAAGTTGCCGTACTTTATTAAAGCACACGTGAAGACAAAGAAAATGAATGCAATGAAATCACAGTAGAAGGAAATATAAGTGAGGAAGAATATTGGAGTCCTTGAAGGTCACGAAGAGTGACTTTATCTGTGTCATTAGGTTTTAACATATCAAAGATTCAAGTAGGGAATCTACACCTGCTTATAAGGCTTAGCATTCAAAACCTTCATGGATTGCTTCCATGTTTCCGTGTAATGTAATCCTGTATCCGTTCAGATTCCTAGTAGACGAAGGCAGGGCTCCGCATGCGTAACACATGTCCTAAATTTTTCAATTGATGCAGCTTAACAGCCTAAATCAGTTGATTTCCTCTGTATACCTAAGACTCTAAAAGCAAACTCATTATCCCTGACAGTATATCACTGCCTACCAAGAGAAATTGAACGTAGAAATCGATAGTCGTAAATGGTCAGTATTTTTATATCTTACTCATTCAACAGCTGCTTTGTTGCCGTAAAAATAGTATTTGGTGAACAGTGGATAGCAGGATATGTAAAACTACGTCAGAAATAATGCAAATTAGCAAACACCAGACAAGCAAAAGTCACCAAAAGTCCTCACTTTGAAGAAGCCAGATTTTGTAGGTGTGAGCGAAACTGCATGTACTAAAGATTTGCGAAAGCAACATTCGACAACCAAACCTATATTGGGAAAGCTCCAGAAGTATACGCCCTTCTGGATTTCGATATAACAGTTCAAACATCCCATACGAACGGAATTCAACGTTTTATTATCCTTTCAGAAAAAGTGACACATGATTATTGTCAGTGTCGGTGGTTCAATGGTAGGAAGCACACCAGTCACGTAAATGGTCCGGACTAGATTTGCTTTCAACGCAGTCCTAAACACCTTGTCTAGTTTACTAGCCAGTATGAAGCCTGGAAAAGACGGGATGTTGAGTCTCAAGGCTAACAACCCCCCTGTAAAGAAAGAACAATACCACCACTACTGAATCTTCAAAGCTCAAAACTTTATGCCTTACATTCAACTCAGAAAGCAAAGAATGAGAAAATAGATTATTGTCATGACAGAATTAAGGCCAACAAAGTCAAAAAATAAAAATAAACTAAGAGGTGAAAGGACACAAAGACAGATATGAAGTTCAGTTCATAGCACGTATTTATTTCAAAAAAGGAAACAACTACATGGACGTGTCATTTCAGGACAAATCATGCTTTACTTTTATGCCCAGTTTATCAATAAGCATGTTGTTCAATTCTTTATACTTACTCAGCCTTCCTCTGTTCTGTCAATGTATGTACATGTTAACTGAGTTCTAAACCTCATGTTTTACCTCATATGTTGTTATTATTATTGTCGTCTTTTTGTATGAGAAGTATTTTAATCTGTATACAGTAAACAGAACGATTGAATAAATGAATATAAGCCAAAATACTGTACAGATAATGATACAAGACATTCTTATTACTCATCAATCTGTGAACAGATTTCCTTTTACTTTCAGACAAAATTTACTTTATATCGTTGTTCATGGAAATGGTTGAGTATATTTACTTTCTCTGTCCATAATTAAAAAAATATAATAAATACACTTCATATGTAAACACAAGGGGTTTTCAATTTGATTGATTATATTCAAACGAAATGTTCAATTTCTGTTGACGCACTGATAAGCTTTATCAGTAGCATATAAAGAGACGTTCATCACGATAAAAATATCAAATAGCAGGCAGCTAGATTTGATGTCGGCGAAAGCAAATGATACAGCGTTGAGGAGATACATGGGAGACGTGAAAGAAACATAACATGAAGGCCAGAAGTAGCACAACACGGAAGATCTGTGCAAATGGTGATCTGAAGATAAGGTGCACATAATTTCGCTATATAGAGATACCAAATTCCAAAAAAAACATTCCTCCACCAAGTTTTTGGCCTTTTATCATTACAATATGGGCTCCTAATACGAAATATCCAACAATTCTTTCAGGTTAACACAGTGTCATTTGGTTGATATGGTAATCCATGATGTACCTTTCTTCACATTGAGGACTCATGTGATGGCGTTCTCCTACTCCTACTGAGACTTGAACCTGCAATCATCGTTTCATACAGCGTACCTTATCCATAAGGCCATTCAATCATGACAGCCACTTATTGTGAAACAGGTTATTAATCTGTTCATCGAGAAATCCATATGACAAAGTGGGCTGAAATCAATTCAGTCCAGATATTTCAACGGGTAGTCATAAATATTAACAATAATAATAACAATGATAAAATCACTCTCAATTTATGAATAGTTTACCTCCTAAAATGTAGGCTTATCTGAACTGACTTTATATTAGGCATAACATACAATCATAATACAACCAATATGGAAAATGAATTCTATCTAGTGGCGTCGTGAAGTAGTCTTTTAGATATGAGTTGATTTCGAAAAGAAAATTATTTACTCTACTTTAGATAAGAGCATTCAGCAAAAGCAAATACGAATTCAGTAATCAAATTTATTGAATATGAGACATGGCGATAAATTTGAAAAATAACAATATTATTGTTATTATTATTATCATTGATACCGACCGAGTGATGATAGTGGTTTCCAAAACCTGAAAATTTTGTCTTGTTTTTCTTTCAGAATGAAATCAAATTTTTGGAAATTAATTTAACCAACAAATATTTATTTAAATTTATTTTGTATTTCCCGTGGATTGATTACGCTGGACCGATATTTTCGGTCTCTGTTGATTATGTTGGTGGTGCCTAGTACGGATGCTTCGACAGTGTCTGACGATTAACATGTTGTTATTCTGGTGGGTATGGTGACTAGCCGCGGAATCCTGGATGTGCATTTCGCCAAAACTAGGGGCTGACTTGTCAACAGAGGCCGATATAATAATATTTAATCAACCCAAGGGGAAATATTAAATTAATTTAAACAAATAATAATTGATACCTCTCCCACATAAAGTAGGTTTCGTGAGCCAAGTAGCTTAGTGTATAACTCATCAGTGGTTGAAACGAAAGGTACTCAGTTCGAGTCTTGATGGGAATAACTTCAGTCACTGGGAATGCAGATACATCCAGCTGATGGAATATGCATCCAATGACCCACTGCTAGTCATCACCCACCAAAATATCAACAAATATTTAGTTAATTTTAGAATTCCCTCTCCGTGTTAACTTACGCATGGAGAACATTATTTTTACAAAGAGAATCATACAACTGATCTACGTGATAACACGTATTCCCGAGACTAGCTGAAAAATAAAAAGGAAAAAAAAACATACAACCAAGAACAGTTTTTAGTATGGAAAATATAATTTTTAAATACTTTATTTCACTTTCAAGTATTAGTTTGTAGGGTGTTGATTGATTTGCAGTTTCGTCACAGACTGATATTAGTTAGATTACCCATTGAAAACCACCAGAGAGTAATGGACAACTGTTCTGTTTTAACTGGAGACTCTTCATCACCATGTACCAATGATCCCACACTTAAGGGTCGAACCCACGACCTTCAGATCACGAAGCCAGCTCGTCGACCATTTAGCCATTGGAATGGAATCCAATAACAGGCTCTTGAATTCTAACTTTTGTCAATTTGCGGTTTTTTATCGCTATCCCCAGCCAATGTTACCAGAGAGTAAATGTCCTCACACCCAACCTGGTGGACCCTTCTGATCACGAGTTCTTAATAGAACTCCCATCCACTTCGTCCTGTAGTCAGACAATGACAACAACCAGATTGATTTTCAAGTGTTAGTTTGTAGAGATATGATTGGTCTCAATTTTATGCATTAATTTCTTCTCACTGTCCTTTTATTCGTCTCTCTCTGTATCATATCCACCTCTACTGCACACGCACGCGCGCATACGATAACCACACACAGTCAAAATATAGTAAAGAAGACACAATATCAAAAACCACTGCGATTAAAATTGTAATACATATAAGTAGTTCTCCATTACTGGTTTAGTAACGCCTAGGAAAGTGCTTTTTGAAGAAGAATAAAAATAAGGAGCACTAAGGTAATTTAAGAAAATAATTTGACTTTCCCATCGCGGCAAATCAGATATAAGTCTGCAACAGGTATATATATATATATATATATACTGAAGATCCATACTGAACACCAGATGGTCTGTCAGGAAGAATCAGTAATAAAAAACTACGGGTATGAATTGACCGAGAACTTATCAATCAAAAAATATGTGGACGAAAATGGAGATGGATTGGGCAGAGGTTGAGGAGACCATCGAATGACATCGCACGCCAAGTCATTGCTTGAGTAGAATCCCTATGGGAAAAGATAAATTGAGTGTTTTTCCGAGGGTGACATCAAGGAGATAGTGCGAGCAGAAGATCAGAGATTATGGGCAATCGTGGGGTTAGCTAAATAAGACCACAGGAAATACAACAAAGTGAAGATATGGTGCTAAAGCCCTATGTTACACTCGGAACTCAAGGGAACAATTATATGTATATGCAATCCTCACCTGCGGCATTAGTTCGAACTCGGGATGAAGTGTCTTCCGTTAGCAGTGAAACAATCCTAGGTATAGCCGGTAGCACAACAGGACAGAATTCATTCGACAGAAATAAAGCATTGCCTATACACAATAAAGCATACTGTCGTATAACTGAACAATTATGATGCAGGTGTTGAACGCATATATCAAGTGGTTGATCAAAGAACCATGTTGAATGTTTACTATCCAATAGAATACATGTTCTCGAGGAGGCAAGCAACTGTTTACGCCTTGGTATTGGACTATTAACATTGAACTGGAAACGACATATCTGATGACATTGCAGTTCATTGGTAAACTGTGGCAGGATTTCACGCATATTTGATTCGATATACATACAAAGCATTAGATTATTTAATAAACTCAATCCATGTATAGCCGTTATCGTATGTGAATCTTTGATGAGATTTAACAAATTGTCTGGAGTTTCTATATCTGGGCAAGTAAAATATAAATCACAGGTATATACATACATATGTCTATTCTCCGAAAAAAATTATAATAATTTAACCGATGGTGAGAAAGCTTTGATTGGGAGGCTGTTATTGATGTGATTGGTGATAACTGAAGGTGAAATAAAAATCTGACTCATGGCAGGATTCAAACCAGAGGCAGCCTCTAACCCTTCGGACTAGCAGTTTGGAGGCTGTTAGTAAAGTTCCTGTCATAACGCAGATTTTCACTCAACCTTAAATCGTTGCTTGTTATATCGAAAAATTCAATTATTCAAAACATCGTCAACATTTTATAAACAACATCAGAGTCACAAACTTTTAACTTTATGTAAACAAAACATCGACATTAGACAACCGGAAAGTAATTGATCCAGTTCATGATATGAACAAACGGTCAAATACTTCGTGGATTTGTGCCACGTTTTGATTTAGCCACCCCAACTCTTTTCTAACCTAGTCCTATGTCAGTTAATATTATTCAATATGAAAGACAGTGGCTCTGGATGGTTAACCCGGACTTTATCCATTTCATCTGATGTAGTCTGCCAACTTTGTCGATTGACGTACCCTCGTTACCTTACACACTATGCCTAACTTCAATATTTTTCACCATGTTTTACCAGTTAACACGGCAGATAGAACATAAACATCTGTGGTTAAGGACAGATGGTGTTTTCAAGTCTTCCACTCTCAACGGCCATGTCTCAAAGCTATAAAGAAGGATAGAGCCGACTGTTGCGTGATAAACACGTCATTTGATCGATAGCCACATATAAAGTCTTCAGAAATCAGTCTACTAGGGTTGATGCAATTTCCCAAATAAATGAAGTAATCAAACAGGCTCTATCATTTCACTCCCTATCTCTAAGCAGGCAGTCGATGTAGTCCAGTCCTGTGGCATCATCTTACATTTAATAGGGGCGAATCGCGTGCCAAACACACCAAATGTTTTGGTCAAGTCAAAGTTCTACACTGGCAAGTTAGTCATTCGGGTTATGTTACCGGAGTAGATAACTCTTTATTCAAAATATCACCACACAATAATTTATTATTCCGTCTTGAAACGATAACAATATTCCAATAGTCACCAAATACAAAAAACCTTGCTTTTCTATTGAATAAAACCTTGTGTTATTATTATTACCAGGTTTATCGACTGGGATCAACAGCGACCAGACTAAATTTCCAGCTGTACGGCCTTCTTCGACAATTTTCATTTGATCAGGTTTAACTGGACGACTATCTCTTTTACGATCAGATAACTCTAAAATTCGAAATGCTAAGAACTGTGATAGCAGAACACACGATCCCCATTGAATTTCTTTGATAGGTGATGTAAAACACCACTGAATCAATTCATGAATCTACAGTATGGAAAAAAGAATAATGTTAGTATGAATTCAGTTTTGTTAGTAATTATTAATAATGCACTAAAAAAAGGCGTTAAATAATTATTTTCAAGGTGTACATATAACCTGAAAATAACCGCATATTTCCTTATCGTTTCAACCTTTGAGGTCGGGTGGAATAAACATTAGGACAAATCATATGACATTTCATTGGACCAAAATAGCTCGGCGGTGAAGTTACTGACTACGACACTTAGTTACGCAGGTTGGAATCTCAGAGGTGACATCAATTCCTTCAGGGTTGCATATATTGTCTTCCTGACTAGTGTCATCAACCTAAACACCTATGTCCACGGCTTCTTGCTGACTGTCTCCAACCACTTAAGATCATTTCGAAGTACATCACGATAACAAATCACCTTGCTTGGTGACCCACATTGCAAACTTAACTTATAAGATCCAGTCAGCGGTAACATATAACATAGACATATGACATGGGTGGCTTTCAAAATGAAGAACTGTAATCAATGGAGGAAAACAGATACATTATGAGGATAGTTGGTCACCAACGGCACAGAAAAACAACGAACACTTGATTCAAAATTTATCACTAACTGTCTGCAAGATTTGAGAATATCCTGAGCTCAACTCTACTCATCACAAAATGTTGGAACTTATAAGGGGCGACACAAACCAAGAGGAAATGACTTCCTAATATTTCCTGATTTTCGGTGGTTATATATATATATATATATATATATATATATATATATATATACTATTATGGATATACCACATATTTAAACAATTCAGCTGTTGAAAGTCAAGATGAAGGTTATTCACATTACTTAATTAGATAGAATAATAGAAAGGAGAAAAGGTGTTTTTAGGTGGATAAGTATATGCAGAAATAAATTCAAGCATATTCTAAATTTCGAAACTTCCGTTTCAAAATTGATTAGAAATGTTAAACTGACAGCACATGTTACCCAAAGGTGAAATTGTTTTTTTCAACAGAGATCAGAAAAATTGTCAGTCAACAGAAGTTGTGTTGAAAAGTTCGGGTATTTTTGTCAACCAAAAGAAGGCGGAATAACCTTGATGAAACCAGTGTTGCTTCAATTACGATTTAAAGAGGATTAAATTGGAGAAATAATTCCCAGACGAATAAAAGATGGAATAACAAGGATGCCTCGATCCGTCGAATTGGCCATCCTGTATAAGACAACCTGTTCAATTACATAGTCTAAAGTAGGCCAATTGCTGGCTCTCTTTAACTCCATGCAACTGATGAAAAGCCTATAAAATAATGATGAATTCAACTTATCCTGCAAAAGTTATTCGTTTTGCTTTATTCAGATATTAGTTCTATTTTTCAGATTTCCATTTTAACACAACGTTACAAATCGTCACATAAACACATTACATAAAATAAGGCAAATAACAGAAGTTATAAAAGTCTGCCACATGATTATTGTTTAGAGCTGTTCAGTTGGGAGTGACCAAAGCACTGATAAGTAAAAATCACACATTTCTGTCTATAACAACCAAACTACCATTGTTTATTTCCTTGTTTCATCCCACCTTGATGGTATCATCAACAATCTTCAAAATAAACTGTTAAAATAATCCACAGTTTGGTTATTTCTTTCTTTCATGCAAACATTTACAGTTGAGAGGAGTGTCGTGTAATTTAGTGGATAGTGACCGGTAGAGAAATCCAGGGGATGCATTTCATCCCAACTCTGACTCGTCAGTCGGGTGTACCTGCTGTCCTTAGTGGCACTCGAACCCAGTATCCTTTGTTCCGAACGCCTGAGCGTTAATCAGTAGAGTACTTGGGTCAGGACAGACACTGCTTGTGCAAGGGGTATCAGATGCTATTTGTTTTTTTAGTCAATTCTGATTCTCCTGGTGTCTGGATCAAAACGTTCAATCCGTTGAAAAAGAGGTAATTTTTGAGGCAAAAGTGGTCTACTGGACAGTATTTGGCATTCAAAACGATGGGTACTGGGTTTGAGTCTCTGCGGAGGCGCAATCACTTACTGGAGAATGCATCTACGTCCAGATGTTGAGTTCCAAACAGGACGAAATTCGTATTCTCGATTTTACTACTAGTCATCATCCAGGGAATTACTTCATATTAAACCCCAGACATTGTCGAAGAGTCAGTACTGGACGACGATATGCCACGAGAGGCCAAACATTTCGATCCAATCAATCAACAGAAAAATCAAAAATGATTTTAAAATACATATAAAAGCAATGTTGAATAATGAATTGCTCTCTTCTTTCATGTTATCTCCACCATTCTCTCTTTCTCTCCTTTTTTTCACAGGCACACACGCAAACACCGCCGTGCAAACATCACGACGTAACACATTTATGTTAACATTTATCAACAACATTAACATTTTATCAGCTGCAAATAGATACACAAATGCACTACACACATATATACTACCGATCCCTTTATCTACCGAATAACGGGAACATTAAAACAGAAAATTTGTCTTTAATAGAAAATGCAGTTAATGATTCTATTGCTATTACGATTGTTATCATCATCCTCAATCTCATTATTATCATTATTGAACAGTTCGGAAAAAGAGAATACAAAACAACTGTTAGTATCGTGTTTTGCTTTCCGAACAAATATAAAACTGAAACGAAAAAGTAAAAGTATCATAGAGTACCAAAGTTATTTTTTGTGTTTCGCGTTGACTTATTCATACTGAACTGGAATGCCTGGTCTCTGATGATACACCAACTGCCAGTGCGGAAGCTTCGACGGTGTTTTATGATCGACATGATATCGTTTGGATGACGATAAGAAGTAGCGGAATTCAGGATGCGCTTTTCGTTCTATTCGAGACTCGTCAGCTTTTGGTTTTACCTGCATCCACAGTGAGTGACTGTGTTCCATTGAGATTTGAACCAAACACGCAATGTTTCGAATGCCAAGGCGTTATCCAGTAAGTCAACCGAATCATACCATGTTAACTGTCAGACATACTCTACCTACGTAATAGATACCAGTTTGCCAACAAGAATCGAGCATTTTAGTCTAATATAAATCAATCAACGGGAAATCCAAATTAACAGCTGATACACATTGCACAAGAGGTGACTCTTTTGGATTAATGGATTGGTGTATAACGTTTCAGAATATGGAAAGATATGTGCTACATGCGAGTCTCAGCGTGAACAGCATCATTCATTGGTAATTCAGACACATCCGACTGATGAGCCCCAAATAGGACGTAAACTGTATCTACTTCTAGCCACTGTCAAACAAATGACAAAAAAGAAAATAGCCAATAACTCACTGGACGAAGAAGGAGACCAGTATATTTTTTTAATCACTAGTTGACGAAGAATAGTTTATACTCAGAAAACGAAACAGACATCGAGGAAAATATAATGTCTAATGACTAATGCTCAGAGAAGGGAATACTAATGGGATAGACAGTCCTCAAAAAGATAAGCAGCTTAAATCCCACCATAAACCAGTATCGTTTTCCAATTTCAGTAGGGAATCTTTCGCATCTGCGATAAAAGTATACCAAAATAAATTAACCGAAATAAAATTATTTATTTAGAAACATGAAACACTCTAACTATCAAGACCACTTATTTATGCTTCAGAAGTCTAACAAATGGTCATAAATCAGAGCGATATGTTTAAGGGTGTAGGACAGTTTACTTTTATATTATATTGGAAAATGTGGGAAATCAAATTACTTATAGTATAAGGACAGAACAGTCACATTATATGAAAATGCTGACAAAGTATATGACCTGCTAGACGTATTTCACTGAGATAATGGAGTACCTTTGGTACGTATCTTGAAGTCAGTTTGAAAATCACAATGTTACAGGATCGACTTGTATCAGGCTCTTCTACGCTGATGTAGGTCATTAACTCGAAAATTCAGTTTTCAGTCAATGAGTGAGTCTAGGATTTAATTGCAGTCCCACGTACTTGGTCCTAGGCATATAGGTAGTACACATAGCAATCACACGATTAGTATTGCTCTTTGCCTGGTACATAGAAGACCTGTTCCAGATAAGTGAATGAAGTTCAAACAACATGCTATATATTTGTAAAATCTCAGCAAAATTGAAGCGAGTAATTTCAACGTTTCGTTGGATAAGCTTTGAGGCGATTAAATTCCTTTACTGTTTCCATTTATTCGGAGATTTGAGACAAATTCACATACAGCCTGCCCCAGTAGAATATCAAAGTAAACATAGAAGATATATCTAGCATTTGCTACGTTTGTGCATACTATCGTGAGTCCGGTGTATCCAGCGAGAACACTACAAACCAGTCCTTTCTTTGATTTTTACACGTGATTGTTAAACTTGAAGAAAATGGAGGGCAGGTATCCACTTTTGATTGTAGGGCGCATTTGTGTTTGTGATAAGGATTCCCTACTTTGAAATCAGTGTGGAAAGCTACACCACTCATTACCATAAATATATATATATATATATATATATATATATATATATGGTTCCTAGAATTAGCGCAAGCGTCACAGAAAGCATTTACACAGTCTGCTACAGACTTTCAACAAAACCCGCCTTTACTCGATATTGAAGCTAAGACAGCCGTCTAAACACGATAAACAACAGGGAACTTCGACGACAAACCAGTCAAGAGCCTTAGGCCTACATATATGCAGAAAGAAATGGAGACAAATACGACATACATTGAGAAGATATTCAAAAGGCGTCACGCGCCGACTCAGGCAGATCCTCGAGTCGAACCCGAATGGCAAATAACGGTTTGGGTATCCGAGAGTGACATGGAGAGTATCATACGAAAAGGAAATATAAGTTTGTGATCAGTCGTGGAACCAGCTGGAATTAAAGACAGAGAACCAAGTCCAATAGAGATGTTCCACTAAGGCATTTTATGCTATTGGAAACTCATGAAAGAGATTATAATAGTGATTGTGCAATGATAACACTCTCACTCTGTAAGACAATTCTACACTTGGTTCAGTATAGAATATATATAACCAAAATAGCTAAAAGTAAACAGCTATGTAACGCTCCTTGTTTTCTTTCAGTCAATTATATAGCTTCACAATGAGAAATTTGAATGAAACCATTCTTTGTGTAGTGTTAGTAAGTTACATCTTAAAACTGCCTCTACAACCAATTGGGATAATATGAAGCATAGCCGTAGCTAATAAAGTTAATGAATAAATAAACACATAAAATGACAAGTACATACAAACAAAAACCACCATTCTACCTACCGCTTTCACTTCAGGTTCATAATCATCTAGATCAGATCCAAACAGTAAATTGATCAATTGTTTACCGAGTATCTTTCGACAAGTCAATCCCTCTTCATTAATTATATCATATACACTATACTGATACATAATCTCATCTGTGTTATCTGTACCATGCAAGTTAATTGGATCACAGCATAGCTTGAATGCAACCATTAGGATGGATTGAGTATGCGATAAGAGGACTGGATCATTTTCTATTGATTTCAATGTCAGTGTATCACCATCATTATTTCTATGCTTATTGTTATTATTATTGTCAACAATTGTTGTATGCGCAGTAGTTTGTTTTAAAGGGGTATAAGATTTTGTTAAGTTGCAGATATTGCATAATGTATGCATAAAATGAGCTAACATTTGATTCTCCAAATAAAGTCTATATGAATATACACGCGTTAAAATAGAAAAGATTAGAATCATATACGTGGTCATCATCATTTTCACTCAATAGGTAATGCAAAAATATGAAAGTTATCATCATAATTTATTAAATACTTTCAAAATACGAAATTTCCGCTAGTGTTGGCTACCTTTGGCAGACTGTTATTTATGTTCATTTGACGGGTAACGAAGACGGCAAGACATAAACCAGAGACCTTCGTAATGCTAGTCCAGCGATCCAGCAGCTGAGCAACAAACCCATTACAACAATAAGAAGACGACTCCCAACCCAAGGTTATCTCAGACACCCTCACCGTAAACTAACAGTCTGCTACTCAAATTTAAATTCAGTATTAGCAGGAAAGTCAGGAAAAGACCCATTTGAACATTAAATATGGTGGTGAACAGACAGCAAGATATCATTTATACATTTGCTGGCTAGGCGCTGGTCGTGGTTACTGCAGTGAAATGATGAAGTCACTGAAAGTTCAACGTCATAGATCATCTTTTAAAGCACCAGACTAGTAATTCAAAGGTCAATTGTTCTAGTCCTTTAGCAAATAAAACCTTTATTTCATGCCTAGTCACCATATATTGCTTACCTATGAATCAAGCAAATGTTTATTCAGTTAGACTGTTGGCAATAATTTTCTCTAACATTTAGGTGAAAAACACAACTTTGGTTAGTTGGCTGTAACGCTATAAATGGAAGTTAGTATTCGCCAATTATTACATTTCAATTCAGCTCATGTCTACACATCCATAAATAAGTGGACACTACAGAGAACATGGGGCTACAGGATGCCTTATTTATTGTTCAGTTTATAAAACGCAAGCATAATTCAATATGTTTTCGAAATTTTCATGCTCTTATTAACCAGTAACTGGTATAATACATTTAGAATATTCGATAAATAATAATAATAATGACAGATAAATGTTCATTTAAATTGGTTGGTCATACTAAACTAGGTAGATTAAAACATTTATCTCGCTGGGCTTTAGGCGTGTCTCAAGCATGTAGACACAATGAGATAAGGAAACAAGTTCCTAACATTTTCACGAAACTCTATTGAACCAGTATCTGTCACAAAAGAACACACCAGCTACAAGATGAATGAATTCCAACGAATGCTACATCTCCAGTATGCATTTTACTATTCTATAAGTGTTTTAACTAATCATACAGAATGAATATTATGACAGTAGGCCCAAATGACCTCACTGTCAGTGATCGAACCCAAGAACTTCAGGGTACGCGGCGAATCTGTTGACCATTGAGCTACTAGAACAGATGACCACCGGCACATGAGTTCTAAATCTTACTGATTAGCACTATTTATACGGTGTCAGCTAAGTTTACCGACAATTATCTCAGTATTATAGGATCAGAAACCCAATAAACTGTTGTTTAATACCGCTAATTAACTAATAGTGCAGAACTTCCATTATTTCATTCAGGTTAGTTAGTGAGACTACTAATGAATGTCAATTCCATTCCAAGTCAACAAAATAAATAACATAATAAATGATATTTGCCTAACTCACTGTTCTATTCCTTAAAGAAATTGTTCAGTTCACGAGTACCAAAACAAACGCGTAGATTGACTCATACTTACGCATATTAAATCATTAATGAATTTCGCCTATTTGCAGGAAGGCTAACAAAAAACCTTAATATTTTATTCCTGCTTTCTAAGTATGATCTGGATCGGCAGTACTTAAAAGAGAAAATATAACCAACTAGCTAAATAACTTACCAACTTACCGGTATATCAAAGAAGTTTTCGGTATGACATAGTTCATTTTAATGTTTCATGAAAAAGGACCTTTCACATTCATACTTCATTAAATAATAATAGTAATAATAATGAGACACTGACCAAGAAAAATTAAACAACTGATAAAAAACAGAATGAAGAAAGATAAAAACAGCAACAGTAGCAGTTATTGACTCACCTGGTCAACGCGATTTTATAATCCTCATCACCAGTTTTAAACGGGAAGTACAATAAATGAGCACATGAACTAAGAATATCCAGGATCAAGTTGGTTGGATGCAATGCAGCCCAAGAACTATTATAAAAGATATTTGTTAAGAATAATAATGTAACCAAGTAAGACTACAATTTTGAAAAAGAAACATTTGAAAAAATTGCTCAATTTAGTTGATAGTTACAGGCATTGGGAGTCCAGTTTGCTCAATTCATCCTATTGCGAACTCGTCAGTTGGTTGTACCTGCATTCCCAGTGAACGATGATGGTATTCTCAGTGAGACTGGGAGCCTGTAGTCACTGTTTCAATTGACGAGTCCCGAAAAGGGAGAAATGAGCATCCTGGATCTCATTGCTGGTCTCTACAAACAGAAATAAATTCACGTCAATCCTCAGATATCCTTGAAGCGCCTGTACTAGGAGCCAACATGCCAACACAGAATGAACGTTTCTGTATAAAATAATCAATTAACGGGTAATGTTTCACTGTAACACAGTGCGATGTAGTATTAATAACTGGTTAATAATGTTTCGGGCACAATAATATTGCATATAATCACATCTCAGTGAATCCACATGACTTCCTAACTTGCTTTATTTCCTCATGTGTTTAATGTAATTTTCCATATATTTGGGATAGGTGCTGCATCATTTCTTCGACTGTATGTATCCGGTGTTGACTCGATCGCCATTTACTTATATAACATTTTGACACTTTCACCCTTTCCTATCCTAATGTATGATTACTATCAAGTGAATGCATTGCAGTAGGCCAGCTGTTTTCTAGACTACTTAACTTATACAGGTTTAGACAAATCCCTGTGTTCTGACAACACAACTTATTTAGAGCTACCACTGTAATCTGCGCAATTGAATTTGACAAAATAAACGTCATTTGCAAATTACACAGTTCAAGGTAAGAAACCACCACAGTCTACTTTGGAAGCTAAAAATATTTATATAATATAAAAATGGTAATCAAGAAGGCAAGTATAACTCCATGATGGTGTATACCATCAAAGTGATCCAGATACTAAAAACAGTTTCACAGCTCGTTTCGAGTGAGGTCATCAGCAATGTAGCCGGTTTCACGCCACTCTCTAAGTATCTTCCAAGTAAAACATATCAATTAGTAGCATACACCATCACGTTATATTACTTTCCCTATTGCTTCCATAAGATCTTTAGGTTGATAAGGTCAATCAATATTGTACATCATTATGAGTTAGACTCCAATTCCGATAAGAAGACTCTAGAAGATCTGGATTTCGTAGATGATATATGCCTAACGTCATACAAACTCGAAGACTCGCAGGCAAAAACCAACAAACTGGTTGAAGAAGCAGCGAAGAAAGGACTCCAGGGGAACACAGAGAAGACAAAAGTGATGAAGATAACCAAACAAAAGCAACAACCAGCACCAATCACCACCAAAGGGAGAGATTTAACAGAGACCACTTCCTTCACTTATCTAGGAAGCACAGCTCCAACCACAGGCAGTAGGAACGGATGAAGATTTCAAAGCCAGAATTGGAAAAGCAAGATACGCATTCATCACTCTGAAACCAGTTTGTAAATCTCCTGCACCCACTCTGCATAAAAAAACAAGATTTCGGTTCTCAACACAAATGTTAAGTCAGTCATTTGTTCTATATGAACCAGAAACTTGGCCAGCGCGTCACGAAAGGGATTTTCAAAAAGTTACAGACATTTATCAACAGCCCCCTTCTCCGGCTCCATACTGAAGATCAAATGTCCGGCCAGCCAGAAAGAATTAGCAGCGAGAAACTCTGCCAATGAACAAACCAACGAAGAGCCGACTGCTCAACAAATATTTAAGAGAAAATGGAGATGGATCGAGCATACGTTGAGATCCCTTATATCACCTTGATATGATTATAAGCAATAAATTGTGCTCGAAACGTCATCAGTAAACATTACTGTATAACACTGTGAGACTTTACCAAAACAAAATTTACCCATAATGGAATTACACTCTACCACAGTGCACAAGTTTTATTCTTATATCAATACGTTGAGATCATCGAATGGGATCATGCGCCAGGCCCTAGGGTAAGATCCAAATGGGAAGTAACGGGTGGGTAGTCGTAGGGTGACATGGAGGAGATCATGCGAGGAGGGGATGAGAGATTATGGGCAATCGTGGACCCAGCTGATGAGGACAGCAGAAAATAGAACAAAAACGAGATGTGTTGCTGAAGCCCTATATTCAACTCCAAACCCAAGGGAATAATAATAATATATGATAATTGTGTGTTAGATCAAATAATGTCATGTCACATGGAATGGATAAACGATATCAAAACTAATTAAACAAGAGTAAAACTATATGAAAAAAAGGAAAATGAACTGGCTACCACAATTGCATATACACATATATACAAACGTTGGAAAAAAACCTTCACAGAATGAAATGAACATTTGTAAGATGTGAAGGTTTCAAAATGAGGAAAAAAAGTCACTTAGACAAATGAAATGCTAAGTATTAGATGGAGGTGATTGAATTTCTTATGTGAAATTTGAATAGTTTACGGTATATAAAATGTCCTACAAAGTTAGTTAGTATTACTTCCTTTTTTAAAAAGAAACAAAGTGTAAGTCCCAATCATTTTTCATTTCCTTAGGCAAAGAAATTAAATTTCCATTCGGGTTACTTTCTTTCTGTGAGGGAAAATATCTTTTGTCTGCTAGCCGATTTTCTTTTAGAGGTTAATAGAGTTAAGGTTGATGAATGAAAAAAAAAGAAATTTTTAGAACTCCGTATAATATTTATAATTTTACTGAAATTTTTCATGGCAAAAAAAATTCAAATTAACAATTTAATTTAGAAAAATAATAAACTGAAGAATTTTGACGAAGAAAAAGGATGATAATTATGCATGGATTTTTTTAATTGAAAAAGAATTAAGCGTGATCTGATGGAAGTAGTATAGCATTAATCCATGAGATGAACCAAGTAGTGGATTGTGGACTGTCAGTTGGAGTCATCAATAGTTTTAAACTTTTGCTGACAGCTATTTTCCCTACTGTTACATATACTTTTATGAAGAGTGGCATCTTGAACTCATAACCTCTTGTACAGAATTGTGCACTCATAAGTCAGTCAGTAAGTAATTATCCTAGCCATTGTCTTCACCTCAGGTAGTGTCTTTCATTACTTTACTTAACCCTCCGAATAACTTTGAATGTATTTTGAAAGAAAATCATCCATATTCATCTATCTTATCTTTCTTACCCCGTTGTTACCCTTTGTGTATTACTTATGCCAAGAAACCCCATTTTCAGTAAGCTTCAGGCAGAGAATGATTTTGACATAAGAATAAAACTTGGGCACTTGACCTTGATATGATTATAAGCAATAAATTGTGCTCGAAACGTCATCAGTAAATATTACTGTATAACACTGTGAGACTTTATCAAAATAAAATTTACCCATAGGAGAATGATTTTAACTGTTACTATACACTACTATGTTATCAGTCAATTTATCGATGACACGTGCCAACAAGCATAGGCGCAAACAACAACATTTTATCTAGTTATTAAAGGTAACAATATACAAAAGTCATTTGCAGGATAACAGACGGATCAAAGACACAAATGTGCGGTGTCACCACGAGGTATACATTGTGCTTCAAAATAGTATGATAAAACCAGCAAAGAATAAATCGGAGTTACTCTGACATCAATACTGAAACGTTTATATTACACTCAATAGTTACACTACATAAATGTCCATGATAATCCCATTCAGACTTATTATATTCTTCTTTGCTTGCGTTCCGACTGAAACATATGTTTTCAGCGGCACATAAACATTATGTTCTGTTCTCCTTAGACTTCTTTTAGCTGTTTCTACGACTGCCAACAAGCTTTCATTCCATCTTCGCCAGATCTTCACCATGTCTCACTCGGATGCCCAACACACCGCTTCTAGAGAGCCCTTTGTGTATGATGTCACTTGAACGTCTCCTCAGAGCAATGTATGTACAATCCGTCTAAGTTTCCTTTTCCATATCTGTTGGATAGGTGACAGGTTATTTACTGGCTGGTACCACTACCAGAGTTTCTTCTTACTTATCATTCCCGACTGACCATATGATTTTCAGCATGGTGCAAAAGCGTCTGACGATGAAGGTCTGCAGCAGCCTATTGGAAAGGCTTCCTATGACACGCGAAGTTTCTGAACTATATATACGAAAGCACTCACTGACTTTCCATTGGGATTCCTTATGGTATGTGCCGTGGATATCCACACAATGATTTTACAGTAATGAAAGCCTGCCATGCTCTCCCGAGCCGACTCTATCTGGCTTCGACATTGTTATCCGCGGGGCTTGCAGCTGAAAGGATGCCACCCAGGTGGTAAGTGAAAGAGACAACCTCCTCGGAATTCCTTCCGCTTGTGGTGACTGGTGTTTGTTGTTGCTGGCTGAATATATTCATCACATATGTCTTCTCATGAGCCAAGCATAGTCAATAAATATTATATAATGTGAAATATAAAACTTTAAGAACTTTAAAATGTATTGTACAATGAACATAATGAAAAAAACCCTCCCACCACAAAAATAAACGAAGAAGTAAAAGAAGTTTCGCATTCATCTGCGTAAAATTCTATCACTTCTACAGTTAAACAAACAGATGTTTAAGAATATATAAAATATATATATAAAATTTTAGTCACCTGTGGATGTAACATCAACTTATGTACTTAATTGTATAAAATAATAATAATAGTAATAATAATAATAATTCAGTCTATCATCAGTTTTACTTTAGAAGTATGTTTCTTTCAAAAAAAGCGTTGCATCACATAAGTGATACATCCGTTTTTCTTCCTTACTAAATGAAATTCACCTGTCATTTAGATGAATGTAACCCTATGTACTGCCATTGTTTGAACTCGGAACAGATCTTTCATGTACTGTATAAAGGCTAAAACTTCCTCTTACTGTATGAGGTGTAATGATCTTACTAAGCTACCTAGGATGAAGTAAGTACGTGACGACAGAATACGGTAGTGTATGGTAGCAGGATCGTTCATTAGGCATAATGCAAAAAACCTTACACTTGAAATCTCCCCTAGTTTACCAGCCTAAATTTTTCCTTGTATATCTTTGGGTAAAACCAGAAGAAACTTCATAAGGATTCACGCTCGTACAGCTACTAAATATAAAAATTCTACCATATCATATTAAGCACGGGTTTTGTGTGAAGAGATAGTTAGATGTCAGAAAAGAACTTAAAACTTTTTAAATCAGTAACTGAACTGAAAAGTACAAGCAAAGATTATTATTACATGTATTACTTATGATGTTATCTAAGTATACTTCACAATGTTTCCATCAATAATCTGTTTATTGTGGTTCGATTATTAATATTATTACTACTACTTTAAATTTTATGTATGTACATATTTATAAAAAGAGCTAAGTAGTTGCAATATGGATAAAAAACGCTGCAAATTTCATTCCGTATCATTATTATTGTTGAGAATAAAGTGATTAATAGTATAATTATTGTAAGCAAGGAAAGGAAGGAAGGTTGGAAGTGAGGCTTGTAACCCCATAACGCCATTACCAATGAAGGCTCAGAGATTGAAGTCCACTCGAAATTCAGAAGAATGAAAAAAGAACAACTCCTTAATTCTCCCTCTGCCTCACACTTTCTCACTGCATTACCACTTCACCTCGTTTCGTTTTCATTGGTTAATTCATCCGGATAAATAACATTTTAAATTGTCACCTTGTTTGGAGAAATTTTAACAGAAATCACACTTTTGTGTATTCTACCAAAATACCCACTTTATTCTATGCACATTTAGGCTTTGACAACAACAAAAATGGTCGTCCTAAATTATGGATAAACAACGATCGGCTTAAATGATGAGAAATTATTGGTTTACATAGACTGGGTGTCTCTTTTTCCGCAAAAAAGAGGGTAAAACATTATAAATTTGAATGTAATGTGGAAAATCTTTTGCTTCTATGAATTGTTGAACGTAAATTAGACGAAGTGCGGCTCATTGACTTTGAGTCAATAGGCTCCTAAGTTCGAGCCTTATTTCATCTACTTCAACCTGTGAAAATAATGATGATGAAGGTGGGCGGGGGTAGATTTAATTAGATGCTATTTCAAGACGTCATATATACATAAACTTTACAGACAAACAGAGGTTTGACAATAAGAAATATATATGCCACACGAGAAGCAAAACAAAGTGAAAGACAACAAAATATAGGACGGTATTACAATGAATGAAGAGGAAAAACAGTACACATGATTCCATCAGGGATCGAACTCATGACTTTTAAGTTATGACTTGTGGGTCATAACGCAGTGGCTTAATGGTCAACGGACTGCAGATCTTGGATTCGATTTCTTGAAGTGAGGTCATGGACGAAACACCTACCCATCACTCTCTGGTGTTCAACGGTTTTAAACCGATGTGCAATTTCGTTATCTAACTTCATTTCAATCAAATCATTGTAAGCTAACATTTGAAAAGGACATTTTAAGTCATAATACATTTTATAGAATCGAAATTATGATTTATAATCAGTTTAAAAAGGTCATCTCAAAGGAAAAGAAGAGTTAAAAGGCAAATTAAGAGAGAATAAAATGTAATTTTTGGGAAATGTGAGAAAACTAAAAGAATAACGATAGGGTTAGTGGAATTATACAACACAAATATAATATAAAGCTTAATTCATTTGGTCACGAGACTGAAACTAGAAAAATAAAGGGCGAAACTGAATAGATTGTCATTTATTTTCAAGCGCTTAAAATTAATTCTCATTTATTCAAGGTTTTATCATGCCTTGCTTGCTGGCAAAAATAAGCAAACAGTGAAGTGTTATTTTCTAAGAAAATTAACACTGAGAACTGTACATGTGCATACACTGAATACTTAACGGAAGGATGAGTACATTGAACTGCTAGTTGCAATATACAACTCAGATATGCAGAGTAGATTCCCTGTGTAACGGGTCATGAGGAACCACGTAAAATTACTCCACAAGATTACACCAAATATTTAAATTTATTCATCTAGAGCTATAACGTCGTTTGATACATATTATTAAAATTAAAAATAGATATGATGGAGCAGCGAACTGGTAATTCTGAGACCACTTGCTCTAATCTTGCCGCTGAACAGATTTTGTATTTCACCCTCAATCATAGCCAGTTGTATCAATAAGGACCTGTGAACTCAAGGTTACCTCAGGCAGTCTCAACGTCATAATCTACTTATTTACTTGCAATTAAAAGTTGAAAACATGACTTGCGTTTCTCTTTAATTGGGACTCACCTTCTGGATGCACTTTGATCTCCAGTAAGTGATGGTGTTGCCACCGCGACTCAGATTTCCCAGTAGCATAGTGTACAACGTTTTGACGTTTGAAGCGACGAGTACTGGCTTTGGGGTTCAGTGGGAACACTATCAATCACTGGAGAGAAGGTGCATTCAGATAAAAAGTTCCAAATAGGACGAAATGTGCATCCTGATTTATTATAGAACAAAATAATAACGTATCGGACAAATTGTTTATCAGAAGAAAACGATACAGCATGTGCAAAATGAACATTTCATCCTTGCAATTTCAACTTACCTACGACGTAGATCATCGATACACTGACTTGTAAAGAAATGCTTGAGAACAGATAACATTTGACTTTGATTACACAACAACGTTTCGATACATAATTTTGGTTTCTATAAAAATCGTAAGTAATAATTGTAAAAATTAAATGGACAAATAATAATGAATAAACGTAATTATTTACAAATGTTTCACTCATTTATAGAAACGAAGAAAAACCGAACTTTAATTTCACTACTGAATTGATACTACTTAAACTATATATCACATCCACTAATCTGAACAGTACAATTACAACTACAAGTGATACGGATGAAGAAATACAGTGCCAGCCTGGTTCGCATTGACCAAGAAAGTCAGGCGTTTATTATTCTTAAATCGATGTGGAAATTCAGAGCACTTAGTCTAATGTTGGCGCGAGATTCACCAAAAGCATTTCTATAATAAAGTGATTATATTATTGTTATTAATTAACAGGTTGCTGTAGATATTCGTCGACACTGATGCTGAAGGTTAAATGGCCGGCTAGAGAGCATCATACACAAGGAACTATGATAGGCGAAAAATCAGCGAAAAACCTACTACTTAACAAATATGTGGAAAGAAATGTACGTGTTCATGAAGAAGGCTGAGGAGACCGTTGAGTAAAATCCCATACCAAACAGGCTCTCAAATGCGACCCCAATAAGAAGGAACAAACTGAACCTCTAACTGTGATATGAAGATTATGTGAAGAGGAAATAAAAGTTTGCTGATAGTCATGAAGTCAGCTGAAAGTGATAGCAGAGAACCGAGTGCGATGGATATGTCCCCCTCGGAACACAAGGGACCCATAATACATTAACAATTAATTTTCTTCAATCGTTTGCCTTCCGAGTGAAACACAGGGCTTCGAGCTGTGAGCTGTGGAGTTCCAGTAGCAGCAGCAGTTTTTTCTCACGGAATGAGTTACTAGCCTCAAGTCCGACCTTCAGTCTTTACAGGATTTACTACCACTAGGAAAGGTTTATGACTGAATCAGCCAGGAATCGAGCCTGGATCACGCGAATGGCTGGTGAATATTCTACCACCGACTCACAAACAGTAATCATAATAACAATAACATGAAGTATAGATCACAATATGCCATTTAAAAATCAACTCCAACAGAATACATTATCCGATAGTGGAAACATGCGCATAATCATTGCTCTATAACAAAAAGAAACATAGGTCGGACTATTCTTTCAATCAGAATGAATAAGCATTATAAAGTACAAACAACCAACTAACACCAAAACCATATTTTGCTTTACTTTATTTACTTGACCGACAAGATGAACAGATACCTCTACAGTATAATCTCTAAACAATATCAATAAATTACATGTGTCCATTCTCTCCCTGTAACTTCACTTCTGAACTGTCATTGGAGGAAATTATGATTATGATTTTAAAATTCTCAAGAATTTACGAGCGTAAAAAAACAAAAAAATAAATAATATTATTTTGAAAAAATGTTCAGTGCAAAAGTTAGATTTATTAAAATAAAAGTAAAATCGTATTATTCTCTTGCCCAATATTATGTTTCTCCTACTTACTGTGTGTGTTTTTTCCTACATGTTATCTCAGTTAGTGTGATAATAATTAGTGATTATCCCATTATCTAAAAGTATACTCATATGCATTCCTGCCCATTAATTACCTCATCATCACTGTACAAATAGGTACATGTATCGAAAAGTTGAAAATGAAGTTTTAAAATCACACTTTTCCAATTTATCCATCTTTTTTCTTCCATAAAAAAATAACACGATGACGTCGTAAACAATCCACACTAAATTCTGTTTCTTTTTTTAAACAAACAACATCGTGTGTCATGGGATTTCAGGCTGGATAGGGAATTCGAGATTTCTCTCTTTAAGAAGTAAAGAAATATATTGCGATGGTGGGTGTTTTCGTCACTCAGATGACATAAGCCTGTTTTTAGCTGGGACTAAAATATTAAACCATTGCTCCTGTTCATGCATCGCTAGGTATGTGTACTTGTATATATATATATATATATATATATATATATATATATATTACTAGTTTTGGAGCGTAAAAATACTAAAAATGAATTAAGGAAGTAAAGTACGGCCAAAACAAATTGTGTTAGAAGAAAAATACAAGGTTTCTGCCGGAGTAACAGACCAACATCTTTCACATATGAATTAACACATACAGATTATGGGCAGTAATGTGTAAATCATCATCAATGCACCGAGAGACTAATTCATACATATAGATACGTATATATATATACATATATATATATATAATTTTTATATATTTACTATAGCTTGAAACTATACAGACAGTATATTTGGTACAAGTGTGGGATTTTCAGCATGTGATATCGTTAGCCCAAATTTGGCAGGCCAACAATTGATATCAGGTGTGCGTCGTCAGGAGATCGAACCTAAGACCATATGCATGGTCGGTGAGAGTCGAAACCGCTGTGCTACCGACGCACTGTTAATATATATATATATATATATATATATATATATATATATATATACATGAAATGATAAACTCGGTATGTTAGAGTAAAAGCCTGAAACTTGGGCTAGAAAACTAATAATAAATCTACTCAGTTTTACAACTAAATATGTGCTGTAATAAGTTAAACAACAGGGTGATTTATAGATAAGATTTTATTTTGATAAACCACACTGTGTTATACAGTAATATTAACTGATGACGTTCCAAGCACAAACTATTGCTCATAATCATATAATAATGGAGTTATACTCTACCACAGTGTCCGAGTTTTGTACTTATAGCAATAACAGGATGATTTATCTTTATTTCTCACTGACAAAATCAGTAATGTATATTGTATAAATTATCATTTTGGAATGTGGTTGCATTGTCCTAGCTGTGTGGTTTTGTATGAAAAGCCTTCAGTACCCCTTTCTATAGACAGACGTTTTCAGCTCTTACAATGAAGTGGAATTTTCGAAATTTTCTCTGAATAATATATATGTCTCTTTTGATGACCTCTGCTTTGTTTGGTTTCACTCAGAAGAATTACACAATAAAATATCATTCTAAGATGTCTTGTTAAAGCGAACAAAACACAGGATACCTGGGAATACAAGTACGCATAAAATTCACTTATACGGATAAGATACTCAAATACAATAGCAATAATCCGACAAAACACATGAAGGAAACTATGTACAAACACTATTTTAAAGAGTTAATATACACTGCAGTACTCCAGTCGTAAAGAGAATGGAATCGAAGTGTTTATTAGCTATCTTCAAGGAAAATAGACAATCAATTTCACTGAAAAATGACTAAACTCGAATGAAACTGCCAGTAAAAGACATTTCTCAAAACCACAAGAAACTTCATCCTGCTATATTTTAAAGAATATTTCTGAAATAACGACTAGAGTGCTGGAACCCTTCGAAGTAGATCTTCCATACAAACTAACACAATCACTTCAATCAATACTATGCTGACCGAAAGATACAATAGTAAAAGAAGAAAAGATCAACACAATCAACAAAGGGAATTCCATCAACTGTGAAAAGCACTATATTGCGTTCTTTTCGACTTCGAATCCAAGAGCATAAACTAACTATCACGACATGCATTCCCACGTACCAATGAATCGAGACAACTATAGATATAAGTTTGACTGGGAAAATGTAAGAATCTTAAACAGGAGAATTATTAAACAAGTTAGAAGACTCCTAGGATTCTGGTGATCGGATCATTCTTCACTAAATAAACATACTGATCTAATTTAGTAACAAGTGAAGAACGAATCACACGGCAAAAGTGACAAGAAAGGTTAAATTCTAGGTCAGTGAAACGACCTATACCAATACATTTCAACACGTAAATAAAAGAATCTTTGACGTCGAAGAAACATAGCCAATGCCACCAGGAGAGATAGATACATCATCCCTAGAGAATTCTGAAAAACCAATTTCAAAGTGTAGTAAACGCTGAACCTCATATCTGTAGGACAATTAAAAAGCTCTTCAGTTAAACCACCAACAACTGAACATCAAACACATACACCTTAGATACAAAGGTTTCTCCAATATTTATAAATCGTGTTTATTCATACAACACGACGGTCTACAGGATAGTGTCTATTGTGAATGATTACTTTTTGAAAAGCAAACGTACCTTTGAGAAAATTGTTGCAGCTAAATTTAAAGCTGATAGTATTCCCCTTGGGGATAGCATAACCAGGTCAACTGCATGCTCGCTGTCTACTGATGAACCAGCTGATTTATGAAGATCAAATATTTGCTCTAAACACTGCCATATCCTTTCAGGTATTCGAAACTCCATAAGTGATTGACAAATGATATTACCAGCCTATTACAAACAAGAATGAGAAAAATGCAAGTGTTATAATACTGACTGTATATGACTGCAAAGTTAACAGCGAAGATTACAAATCACTTTAGTCAAGTCGTTTTTTTCAACATTTTCGTAAAGAAAACTTCATCTTAAAGGTTTAGTCATAGAACTAATAAGGAATAAGTTATGACTTTCAAGTATTAATTTTCAGGAATTTGATTGATCTCAAATTAGATTTTATTATGAATCGACATAAGTAAGAAAGCCAGTGGGGACCAAGGAGTTCAGGACAGTTGTTTCGCCCTCTTCCGGGACTCTTCATCAGAACACACCCATAACTTCATCGAAAATCATACCCTGAACCTTCAAGTTATGAAGCAAGCACTTCACCACACCAGCCACCTGTTTAAAATCTAATGACCTGTAGATTGCGGTATGAAGTGCCACTACTATTCATTATCGTTGGCGAAGATCTGTCCTCATACCCATTTCGGTGGATGCCACCGATCACAAGATCTCACAAGAACTCCAGGAAATCCACTGATAAACAGTGGATTCACTTTAAAGTGCTAGTTTACAACGGCCCAGGGCCAATGATTTTGGATTTGTAGAATTAGGGGTGAAAATTTCTAATTTCACGAGAAAACCTTCCGCCCCCATTTTGCTTAAATCTCAAAGCGGTATTTATTCATAGTAGTTCAGGCATCATATGACCATAGGCATCAAATCAACCAGGGAAAACACAAAATTCATAGACATAAGGGGACAAGAAGAATACTGGTGAATTCTTTGTTTCTTAGTCCTCAGGTCAATTTGCAATTAACAGACATGTGGATCAAATTAATGAACTTAGAGAATAAGTCACACAATCGACAGGTTAAACATCAGGGCAACAAAACAATTATTTTCCGAGGACAACCAATCGCAGCGTCCAGTTCATCAGAAAAACTAACGGATATTTCATCCATGAAAAATTTCTATAGATATGACGGCTTCCACCTGTTGACTGCAATAGATCTTCATCACATAGTAAGATTCGAGGTTGAATGAAGAACCCATGGTGATGAATAGAAGTGGTATAAAAAGACCTTAAAATAACAACACTTCATTTAAGTAACATTGAAGAAAATCCAGTAATAATATGGAATTCCTGCAAGCGAACTCTAAATTATTGATTCAAAAATATTCAACTAATGATATTCACAGGTTCAGCTAATGTTCATAAAAATTATGATATTTACTAAATATAAGAAAGAGAAAGAAGGAGAAAAATGTTACACAACTACTTTCAAAGGTATAGTATTAGGACACTTTAATTAACCAACCTGTGTACACATTATTTGAGCTAAGTCAAACAAACCATCAAGCCAGCCATGATTAGATGGCCATAATAATTGTGGTAAACCGAAGGTCATTAGAAGATCCATTTCACCCTGAGATTCACCGACATTCTCTTTTGAATTAGACCTACCAACATTACGTGGTGTTGATTCGCTTAAAGCAGCCAATAGTCGATTACGTGCTGTTTGACTCTGAGCAATAGGTGATACGAGAATCAGCGACATTGCTTGTACAATATCATGAGGTTTAGCCGGTATTTTAAACTCTTGTAATTCATAAATTTGAGATAGCAGCAAAGCTGATGCAGCCTAATTTCAACGACAAGGAAAAAAACAAGAAGTAGGAAAGTCATCTTGAAAAATTAGTGTTTTATAACTCATGGCAATTTATTTCAATGACTGGACTGGTTTCAACATGGAACTTTACACCGATGTGCAGCAGTTCAAGTTGCCACACCCCATGTAACACACAAGGCAAGGGAAGTAAAAAAGGAATGCAAAATAGAGACGGTAAACAGAGATATGACACAAAAAGAATAGTAATATCAAAGAACAATATAGTTTTATGGGGTATTATAAGTCCCAAGAAGTGGATGCATCTGAGCCAGCCATTGAGAACGATCTTGAGCCATGTCACCAATTGTTTCCAACCATTGGTTTCTACTGTCCCGAGGACCCCAATTAGGAAGTCTACACCTTCCTACGTGGCTCAGACTAACTGTTGTAGATATCATTGACTGGTGACATGTTTTGGTTTGATTGCCACTAGCTCTTTTCTAGCCTGACTCAAGGAGTTCAAAAGACTCTGCATTTTGTCAGCGTCTACACCTATTTAGGAGGGCTATGTCATCTGCATATTCTAAGTCAACGAGATTATTCGCTGATGGTAACAAGTCAATCCCTGAGTCATTGAAGTCAGTTAGCGTTAAGTCCATAGTACATCTATGATGAAATTAAACAGAAATCGGGGCAGCGGGCATCCCTGATGGACACCACTAATTGTCACCACTTCAGATGACAACTCACCGTAGGCTCTCGCCTGGGTGACTGCATCAGTTCGAGTGGAGTGCCTTGATCAGTGCAATGTATCTTCTCGGCATTTATTTCACAGTCAAACATCACCATAGTACCTTTCAAACGACAGAATCGAATGCCGCCTTTAGGTCAAGAAATATAAAAATTGTTGGACGCCTGTGGTGAGCATGCCTATGTTCCAGAATCTGTCGAAGAGTGAAGAAATGATCCATACACCTTCTTCCTGATCTAATGTATGCCTACTCTACGGGACTTGCTATGATTCCTAGAAGCTGCCTAGTACTTCAGTTAACGCAGACAGTAAACTGTCTCCACCATACTTAAATACCCCAGAAGTCATCCCATCATGTCCCGCTGCTTTGCCTCATTTCAGACTAGTGACAGCTTTTGTAACCTCTGCTAGGGACGGAAGACCTGTGTCTATATCCCATTCAGGGGGGTGTGGGATGTTCGGCAGGTTAAGTGTGGCTGTAGGCCAATTAAACCGTTTTTCCAAGTTTTCTTTCCATCGTTCAAATTGTCTATCCTGGGAGCTAATTATGGTGCCATTTTTCTCAGAGATTGAGTCACTTATCGTTCACCTTTTACCACCTGTTTCACTTAGAAGCCTAAATAGTTGTCTGGTATTACCAATCACCGATGCATTTTCCATCTCTTTCGCTTTTGTTGCCCACCACTGTTCACAGTCGTTACGAAGACTTCTTGTTAGTTTGAATAAATCACCGGAATCAGTTTTCTTGCGTCAATCAGTTCGGATAAGGTGGTAGAGATCCAATGGCTCTTACTAACTTTTGCTTTTAGGTTGTTAACAGCTTTTACAGCTGTGTCTACAGCCCACTGTATGTTGTGCCAGGCTACCTCAGGAGGAGTCCTGCTGTCGACCTCAGATACACGTTTCGCTATTTCCTCTTTAAATAGGGACTCAGTGTCTCGATCTAGTTGGGGACGTAACTATTTCGTTGCCATCAATTTCTTATGCCCGTTTAGTCGTAAGCATAAACGTGTGCGAACCAGAGCGTGATCAGAGTCTTAGCACGCGTTTCAGAAGGAGCGACAGTCTTCAACTGACCCTCGCCAACCATACCCTATCGCTATGTGGTCTATCTGAGTCCAGCGTTGATTTGGTGATGGAGGTCGCCAGGTTACGCAGTGTCTCTCTTTGTGCCTAAAGTTAGTGCTGACTAGGAACAGATGATTATCTGAGCAGAACTGTAGAAGACGATCACCGTTGTCAGTTAGTCGGCAGGGAACTCCATACGTCCCACCTACATACTTCTCAGTCTGGCACAACTTCCCTACTTGGGCATTGAAGTGGCCTGCTAAAACAACTATGTCTGAACCTTTTGCTTTTTGCAGCAAATTAGACATTCTCAGGTAGAAATCATCCTTTAGTTCATCCGAACTGCGGTCTGTTAGGGGTTAAGCGGAGACTACAAAAAGACAACAACGGGAAACGTCGTCCTTCCGTCATCTAACTGACCCGTTCAGACGGGCTGCACAAATACGACAATCTACTGGGATCCAGTCAAGAAGTGATTTTTCTGCCCTAACACTCAGTGCTGTCCCTACACCTGCGAGTCTTCGCGAACTAGCTGAGGGGTCTCCTGACACCCTCAAAGTGAATTTTGCAGGTTCACCTTGTTGGCCGGGTGAGGTTAAGTGAATGACCATACTCGGGTCTTGTATGCCTGTCTCCGAAACACAATATACATCCATGACTCGAGATGCTAGAGTTCTTGCTAGTGATGCCTGTTGTCCGATTTGGCAGAGGGTCTTGATGTTGAATACTCCTATATGAAGTTGGCGACATGGCTTTAAAAGGTTGTCGGGGGTGTTTATATGGCTCTCACCGTTGTTTGTGGTCACAGAGTGGAGTGAAGATGACTCACTAGCCTGCAGAATAGTAATGACTGTAGTAGGGAAGCAAGATGGGGAAGGTGATGTTGATAAAGGAGAATGATGCTCGGGAAGGCTTCGTGTGCTCTTGGAAATGTGTGGGCGATTGTTACTTCCCGGCTGCCCACACCGTGGAAGTTGGTTGATTCTTCGGGTACCTGAAACAGAAAGAGGGTTAGTGTTGCGTGACCGCAGAGCACAGGAAACAACTGCTTGAAGCCGGTCACACACAGCCTGTATGAACTGGTTTGGTTCCGTATTAGTAAATTTACCGCCGGTTACGGACTACCGTAGGGTAAGTTGGGATGTACAATTATTGCGGCTGACCTTTTCTAACCCCCTCTCTCCAGAGTGGAGAAACAGCATAGCTGGCATGCTGGTCATCTGAGGCAAACACCTCACTGCCGTTACATCCTTGTTCCCCAGTAGTACGACTTCACCCAAATATCCCCAGCATAGTGTGAAAATTCTTACACTACACCGGTAACTGCTTTTAGTCTAATCACTTTCCTAACAACCTTCCTGGCATGGTAGGACCTGAAGGAACCATAGTTCCAGCCAGTGTAGCTTGTTGGGTCATTGCGATATACAAGCCCGACCACCACGTCAAGGTAGCAGCTATCGGTCGGGAGTTTATTTTAATATAGCTAAAACTCCTATTTAAACATTTAGAAAACACAAAAGGAGATTAAGTGACTGGTTGACAATGATAGATATGCATAGTGGAGGCGTGGTTAAGCAAGGAACAGACAAGATCTATTGGCATCTCCATTTTGCCTCATCATGTAGACATTTAAAATGAAGTTATCTGTCGTAATCTGACTAATCATAACTTCGTCTTACAAGTTTGTCTTCTACATAGAGTTGAAGACGTCGGGATCCATCTGAAGAAGTCTAACTTATGTTTTCAGAAAACGTAAGTTCCGAAGCTTTTCTTACCTTAGCCGTCATAACTTGATTGTAATGATCTGACAATTCCCCCTTGACTCTAAGTCTTTAACAAGCTGTGATTGTTTTAACTGTCATTGATTGATGCATTTATTTTCTTCTTAACTTTATCTGATATTTAACTAAGTATTACATTTTATGCTTATTATTGTTTCCATGTGCTTTGAACTGTAATTGTAATAGACCTTAACAACTCGATATTATTTAAACAAAAGCATCAATGTTGTCAACATCAGTTATTCTTTAAATATTACGTGTATCTATAAATGTAGACGCAGATGAAGTAGTTATTGAAAAGTATATCTTTTAATCCCTCTTCTTTTTTGGTAATTTATTCCTTGATAGATCTTATTGGACCAAAATGCTTGATCTTTGTTAACATGTTGGCTCCTCCTACGAACATTTTGACGGTGCTTTAAGATAAATTTGATACTGTTTGGTTGATGGTGGTTAATCTTTAGATTCAGAACACGATGTACTTGCATCCTCAGTGAGCGATGGTGTCTCAAATGTGGCACACTCATAGTATTTTAAAAAGGTATTTTAATTTATGGTGCTCATAGCCACCTGTTGAATTCAAGTTTACGTGATTATCTTGCTAGATCTCAAACTACATACAAGAATGTTTTACAGGTTAAATTGTTCTTCAGTAAGTCTACGCGAAAAACAAACTTAAATTTGCTCCAATTTCGATCACAGATTGATGTCAGTTGGACGACCATTGACTACGCACATGACATTTACTACTTCTCAGTGACCAGTCAATCAATTCTACGCAGCAGGCAACTGAACTATATACATGCATTTGAGAGGACGTGTACAGTTAACATTGGAGGAACTCGTCCTGTCAACAAAAACTTCACTTCAGTGTATATGTGCATCAAAGTCAGCACTGTTGAGATATAAAGATGCACAATTATTTTAATGTAAACATGAGTCTAAAAACAAGACTTACCGCATGACTTGGAACGTGTGATTCAACAAGCATTTTGCAAAATTGTGCCTTGTTTTGTAATATCCTAGAAATTGAACACATAAACCAATAGCAGGTGCAAACAAGTAACTAGATTATAAGAATTACTGTAAACGTACAAATTGAAATTACACCCTCCGCCCCTCCAAACGACCAAAATGCCCATCCAGTGTTAAAATCACTTCAATCTTGATGGCCAGCTTAACTACTCATACCAACCAATCAGTAGTATACAGCATCATGCATTTATGCTTACTTTCTTGATTACCATTTATAGTGTCAGGCAGATCACATGTTGTGACATGAATAATCTCGGTTTCCAAAATAAACTGTGGTGAAATTCCACCTCAAACTGCTAATCGGAAATCGTGGATTGATTTTTAAATCAAGAAATTTCAGACATTTTTACAACAATAGTAACTAGTCAATATGAAAGAAACAACTAATAGTGAAATGAAGAAATCCAAAATAATTATTTGAGTACAGCTGGATATAGTACTAGCATCATAAAAGTAGTTTAATTTGGGTATTATAGATCCACGCTGCTTAAGATGAGACTAACAACATGTCTGTATCTCACAGAGTTTGCACGGATTATTAAAACCCAGTGATGTCTTTACACCAAGATGATAGGGTTTGCTGAAATTGCCTATATTAAACTCCACGTATCATACGATAGCCGAATGGATTGTCAAATTATTACATCGTCTACCTACTGAATGGGTGAACAACAGAGTAGAAAGATACCTTCGAATTTGTTGAAAGGATAGAAGAATAAAATAGGATAAAACGAATTCATGATAACGTTTGATGTATCTTCTCTATTCATTAACGTAACACTGATGTAAACAGTGAATTTTGTATGTGAAACTTCGATGTCAGCATTCGTATACCTTCTGTACTAGAATAATCTGTTCAAATGACTATCATAATGAAGAACTCAAGATTGATAGAAAATTACTAAGTAAAAATGGATAATATTCAGATGAGTTTACTGATATAAACATAAATTTAAAGCCAAGGCAAGCTAATGTGTCAACAGCTACGAAGAAGACTTTGTTACTGAAACTGCAGTTTAGACTATTATAATCAAGTGATGACTGACGGCTTGGAAGGTATAATTAATCGGTTGCATTGATTGAATTATATCTACTTCCCTCCAAGCCTTTTACAAACTATCATCGTTTTAACTCCCCTTAATAGTTGCATTAATTTGCTTCTTAATATCATCTGATCTTCACTTAGGCGTTATGTTTCTACGTATATTGTCACTAATACACGCTTTTGAACTGTTATTCTATTGATCTTAACAACTCGATATTATTTAAACAAAAACATCACTGTTGTCAACATCAATTACTATTTAAATATTATATATATATATATATATATATATATATATATATATATATATATATATAAGGAAGTTATTGTGAAGACTATTCTGTACTCAATCTTTTTTTATAACAGCAAGTGTTGGTGCACGCAACTAAACACACACAAAATGCTAGAAATATGTAAGTGTTTCCTTTGATATTTATCCAAATGATATAGATATAAAGTATGCAGTCTGACATTTGATGTGCATGAAATAAAAATCAGAGACAAGCATTAGGAGAAATGAGAAGTCATCATTAAATATTAGCTAAATTTTTAACCAATATATATTTCCAGGCAACTTGATCGATAAGTCACTTTTCCAATAGAGAGATGATGTCAGAATTGTTAAGTTTTATCTTATCAAATGGCGGATGAAACACTTTCAGAAATTTAAATTTCGGACTTTTATTTAGTGATATTATCAACAAGAATCGAATTTTACAAGTTGTAAATCCTATACTTCGGAGTGACAATTATTCAGATCAGACTGCATGACCTACTTGGTAGCATAAATGGTCAGCAAGAAAGTAGGAATCTTTGTGTGACTATGGAAATGTGTGGACAATTATTACTTGCCGATTGCTTGAGCCATAGAAGTTGGTTACATGATTTCAACATGAGCTGACACCGGTTAGAGAACCATTGGAAAACCTGGGAGCATTGGACAGCTGTTCCGTCCTAGTTTGGTGAGAAACGAGTGTCTGTAACTTCTTTTTCCAATGGTTTTCTAATCGGTGTCAGCTCAGGATGAAATCCTGTGACCAATCAATCAAATCCCTACAAACAAATACTCGAAAATCAATAAGATGCTTACTAGCGACTGGCCCTATTCAGGTAGGTAGTTACCTGGGCTTCTAGTGGGACGTAGTGACCAGTAAGGTGCAGGAGGTCGGGTGTGAGGACAAACACTTCATATTACAGTTACCTCTGTAGATGATGTCCAGAAGAACAACGCAATTGAACAGTTCAGCTCAGAGAACATAACAACATCGAAAACATGATTAATTTATAGAACCAAATGATACTATTAGAATTCTTTACATTGCCTCGGATATTAAGGATAATCCATGGATTAACAGTCACTCTCATCAATATGATGGTAAAATCTATTGTATATACCGAATAACATGACGGTAAGTAAATTTAAGAATTCATCAAAACCTGTATCTCTTTTCTATACATCACAAGTATGCTATTACCCGTTTCAAGCTTTCCATTCATCTCCCTAAGTCAATATTTTGTATTTCCTAATGACCGACTTTTATTAGACTGAAATATTCAATCTCTCTTAATATGTCGACTACCAGTGGTCATTTGGATAATGCTTCACCGATTGAAACGATGGGTGCACTGGATTCCAGTCTTAATGGGAACCGCATCGTTTAGCGGGGATGCAGGTAAATCCAGATGATAAGTCTAAAATAGGATGCAACTCTCATCCTGTATCTCACTGCTAGCCTCCATTAACCAAATAGCACAACAGAAGATTTATTGTAAAATAATGATAATCTATAGATTAGTTATTCTTATTCCCGTCAATATGACTTTATATATCCCTGTAATCACAGTGTGAGTAAGCATGTAACACAAGATGTAAGTTTTCTATATCCCTATTATTCATCTCCGTTAGTAAATGTTACACAATAACCGAGTATCTCTTAAATAACAAATATGAAAAATATATATATCGCCTAACTATGGATACTAGATATTTTAGTGAATAAGAGATGTGCAAAGACAAAAACGTCTAATCCAACAACAGAATGTAAAATTGCATTAATATGAACCAGAAAACTGACACTTGACAAGGAACCAAACTGGAGTTTTTTCAGTCCCGTAAAAAATGTTAAGCATTGACATGGAGAAAAAGAATACATGGATATACGATATCCGACTTCAGTTTAGCAAACAGCAACAACTCTTGTAAGCAATCAAGTAAGTCTGTACACTTATAAAATTATATTTGTAAAATCTCAGCGAAATTGAAATGATTAATTCCAACGTTTCGTTCGGCAATCTGGTCCGAACTTCTTCTGCAAATATCCGGTCAAATCTTGATCACAGTTCATATAAGTCTGTACACTGTTCACATCAATAATTAGCATATCACGTGTCTTCTTGAAAACCTATTGTGTTACTTACGTTATGGCATACACTATTGACTCATGAGTATCAGTAGTGAAAAAATCCACTCAAGTTATCCAATCTTGGCTGCTAGTTACATGGAAACGATCTAAACACTGCGGTCGTTTCCCTCATTTGGGGCTGAGCCTCGTCATATCATTTAGTAGTATATTCCACTTGCTTTCTTGATTGGCATTTTTGTTATCAGACATATCATTTATTGTTAATTTTTACAAAATTAACATTCTTTAGAAAACCTCCTCAATGGTCACTTCAGGAAAATAATAGAGTAAGGAAAACATATACACCATATGGGTGTAATCAAATAAACTAAATCTGTTTGCGTTTACATTTGTACAAAAGTGAAAACTTACAATTCAGGTACATAACCCAGTTGAATAATCAGTGCAGTTAACGAGTTCATAACCAGTTCTACTAAAGTCACACGTTCCGACTTTGAAACTGAAACCTGCAAAACATGAATAAAAGATATGTACGTTGATTGCATCCGAATTTGTAAGGTGGACGGAATTTTTAACGTGGATATTTGCACTAAATTCATCAGTTTAAAATGATACACTTACTAAAAGTACGAAAATATAATAAAGGAAAATGTAGGAAAGAAAGAACAATCACATGGAGAATATTGAATTTCTAATGGACCTTGAAGGACATAAACAGCCAATATATCTGAGCTATTGAGAACAATTTCAAGCCATGTCACTAACCATCTCAAGCCATTGATTCCTAGTATAGTAAAGACCCCAACTGTACAGTTTAAATCTCGATATGTGTCTCAAACCAACAGTCAAACACTTCGTGGATTGATGCCATCTTTTGATTTGACTACGTGTAACTCTTTTTCAACCTAGTCCAAATAAGCTAATTTTCCGATGGTTTGGCATGATGAAAATGTATTCTAGGCATGTCATTTGTGATAGAGCTTAACAGCGTCATCGGTTTACTTTCCCACCTTACCTAACATAGCCAGTAGCAATACGAATTGACTAGGGTGAGTGTTTACCAACTACTTATATAGAGCAGTAATATACGTTATATTACAAAAAATGGATTGTATTCAAATCAACATGTTAACAAGGTGTTGATAAAAGATAAGATATCATTAACTTTAAGCCTAAAGAAAGACGTTTTAGTTTGCTCTAAGATACGTTAACTTTTCATTTTCTGCTTTCCAGTGTGTTATTACGTGATTTGTGTAAATTATTGCCATAAATCAACCTTATCACGTGAACAATATTCAACTGAAAACTATAGTGTGGATATACTTATTTTTCGTGATTGATATCATGAATAACCACTGTGTGGTAAAGTGAGAACACAACAATAACAAATATACAATGCAAGACATTAAGATACTTACACTACCACGTAATAAATCCAACAGAGCTTCCAAGTATATAGGAAACTTTTTGATACAATAATGAGCAAATAATGTATCAGCTTGTACACAGTCATAAAATACCTAAAATGGTAAGCATGAAAAGAAACAAATTTAGTGATAAATACGACAAACGTGATGATCTGCCCTTTAATGTTTCGGTGTTTAAAGTCGATCAACAGGAAGGCTTTATGTTTGTTTCCACTCGTCAGCATGGCTTATCTTCAACTATTGAAGGAAATAGTTTCGACTCATCCATTACTAAAGACAAAAGCGTAATCACTGACGAGTACCGGTAGGCACGATACTTAGATCCACCACTTCCTACCGGTTATCTTTGATCACCTGATATCAATTCGAAGAACACCGCGATAGTGAGTCACCTAGCTTGGTGACAACATTTCAAACAGCAATAAGTAGTAAACACAAAGTTGGTTACTCTCTAATGGTCAATCAATGTAACTAATAAAATCCTACAGGACGTCAGTCGTGAGCCTGAATAGCTCAATAGTAAATACTCCGAATGCAGCACTAGGTGACGTGGGTATAAATTTCATAGACGACATTGGTTCCTGAAAGGTTGCTGATATAATTTGTTGACGAGTATCAACATGCACTGTGAACCATGTAAGAGTATAAAATTCATTAGAACTAAGACATTTGAGGAACTGGATGAAAGACAAACCAAAATAGAATCTCGTACAAAAGTGCATCTCAGTGCATCCTCTGGATTTCCCTCACCGATAGCGTTTGGTGTTTTTTGCTGTTGATGTAACTGTCTACATAACTGACGTGAAACCAATACGCCGGGGACTTTCACTGTCTTTCCATAAACTAGACGACAACCGCACCAAAGTTAGAGCACATAAAAAATTTTAAACCCTTATAAAAACAAAATATCAAAACACATTTCCAGTGGATTAACTGTAATTCTAATTGGTAATAAACAACATTTTGACTAAGCACGTGTTAGTTTAAGGATTTACTACATTCAACATCCACCAAGAACTTGAAGAATAAATAAATAAAAACAAAACGTTTCCATGTCACTCAATCAAAAATGTTAAGAGAAGTACTGCATGTTAAGACTTAACGATAGTGCAGTGAAATTCGACTTTATTGGTAGGATGCTTGCCAACACCGCTTGAGGTTCAGATACGACACCGTATATCTAATAATACCTCCTATATGAATATTTCTATGATAGTTCTGAATGAAATGCTTGGTTTTGATTGTGTACAAGTAAGTCACTGACAAATTGTTTATACGATTACTAATGAGGTAGAGAGATTTTGTACACTTTTACAACTACTCATTCTTCGCATACCGTTGTGGGAGATTTATAATCAAATGTTAGTTAACAGAGATTTGGTTGGTTTCAAGTTTGACCACGAAATAACTTCAGTTAGAGAACCACTGAAAAACAGAGAGTACTGAACAGCCACTTCGTCCGACTTTGAGACATTTTTCAGCAGTACACACCTACGACCCCATCGGGGATTGAACCCATGACTTGTAGGTTGAGGCAAGCTTGTCGCCTTTTCAGCCACCGCGATGAAATCCTATGGCTAATAACACTGGATGGTGGTGGCTCTAAAAATTACGAAATGACCGATGTTAGAATTTATGGGCCATTGGATTCCGTCCCAGTGACTAAATGAGCAACGAGCTCGCCTCGTAGTCTAAAGGTCCTGTGTTTGATTGCTGATGCGTTCATAAAGGAGCACTGATGAAAAGTTGCAAACCAGAACGAAACAGCTATTTAGAATATTTACGTAAAAAGTGATACGAAAACACACAAGCATACATAGACACGCAAACACAAAACCACCAAACGATGTGGTGTAGTAGAAAAACAACAACAGAAAATTCAAATGAAAACTGGAAAATTTCGTAAATCTTAAGTTCTGAATTTAGAAAAATTAGGCGGATGATAATTCGGCCCCTGATGACTTCCTGGCTAATGACATCGACGTTTCGAAGATGACTTCCAGGGCAATATGTTGTTTGATAGATAGTGAGTAATCACAGAATCCAGAACTGGCGTTTCGTTCTTCCTCGGAGGCATCATCTGCATGTGCCTGCATCTTAAGACATCATTCAAGAGTTTATACTAGAAGCCAACATCTCAAAAGAGATCAAGCACTTCAGTAAAATATTATCAGTCAACGGGAAGCACAAATTAACTTGAATGAAAACCAACTAATATCCATTGGTTAAATGGTGGCTCCTGTTGCTCAGTGGAAAACGTTCCTTAATTTTAAACGATGGGTGCACTAGGCTCGTTACTCACTCAGGAGGCACTCACATACAGATGATGAGTCGCAAATAGGTAGAAATAAGCATGTCCTGAATTCTACTGCTGGCCATTATCAACCAAATAAGGAGATTCAGCCTTCATTGGAAATTTACCTAACTTCGTCATATAAACAAAGCGCATTATCAACAATTATTATTCATTCAACAAACTGTCATACGATTTTGGTGAATGTTGAATGTGTGCATGAGGTAGAAAATAAAAACAGAAATAATAGTTAATTAGGCATGAAAACAATAACAAAAAGGCACTTATTGTCCTATAGGCAGGTGATGATGCATACAAACTCAGAAGAAAAGATTGGAAAAGAAAGCATGATTAGCAAAAATATTTACACAAATTTTATACCTGCCTTCATGATAACATGAACAACACAGATTTTAATAAACATTATGATGGACAGTTTAACTGAACTGGAACACAGTAAGAGAAAACTAAGAATAGAGAAAGGTATTCATGTTTACAAGTATGACATGGAATATTGTTTTGCTTTTTTTTAAAAAAAGCAAATGTTTCCGAAAATAAAGCACAATGAAATCACCGTTGAACTGAAGCATTTAACTGGATTTCTATCTTTATATCTATTACATATCCTATCAACTTTTCAATTATATTAAATAATTTTTATTATACCCTTAGGTTTCAAGCGGAGCATAAGGGTTTAGCAGCATATTGTCATTTCACTCTGTTCCCTAAAGTCTTTTTTAGCTGGTAATTCCATGAGTATCCTATCTGAAAGGGTTCAGAAACATTATCATGTATGATAAGGTAACAGCGGCTCCAGAAGGAGTGCTATAACTCAATATCTTGTCAACACTCACCATTCTGTCTCAACAAACTCTTCATTCAAAGTGATCCACAAACTGAAGAACAGCATGTCAAAGACAATACACTCTCACCTTCTTTGCATTGCTGAAGCTCTAGTCATTCAGATGGAGAAGTTGCAGTTTGGCATACAAAATGAAGATTATTCAAATACTTCTATTAGAATGGTAATGCCACTGTTGTTTTGCAATAACTTGATGTTTTAATTTTTAAATCCTTCTAACTCTTACATAACATCGCATATTTTCCTTCAGCCCTATGTGAATTCTAATCGCATATCATTCCTTAAATTACTTGTCTCATTACGTATATCATCTGACTCCCTTATTCAACTTCACTTTCGTATTGATTAATATTAACAACTATGAGTATAACAACGCATCACTTTTATTACTTACTACCGTCTTTCATGAAAAAATATGTGCATGAATGAGACTGTACAACTAAAACAGGAAAGGAATTCGGTGAAAATAGGTTCTTTGCTCAACTAATCGTTTCACTTTTTTCATTGATGCCTAGATTATCAAGTTAAAAATTGTAACATAAAATTTTCAAATGTACATTGTGTTTATCCTACTAAACATAACCTCCACCCTGACCAATTTCATTCATTTTGCCCTGAACATCATAGCATTTGATTTGCTTGTTAAACAATATTTGTATGATATCTAATGTCACCCATATGTACCTACCGACCTTCATATATATATATATATATATATATATATATATATATATATATATTGTTCATTGCAATTTCCCATAAGTCCGGTATAGGCGTTGCATCATTTCCACTACACGTGTTTGGTGTTGATTCGATAAACAAAGATTCAATGATTAACCTCTCCACCTAATCGCATTACTTTTTACTACTTTTACCCTATCCAACACATAGTATGTGATGATGATATTCAAGTGAACACATTGCAATCATCGAGCTTTTTGCTAGATCCTTTGACTTAGTAAGGTCAATCATTCTAGCTGTAGCTGAATTTTCATGTTCCAACAATCTGATTGACCCCCCATCTACTAGTTTAACCTATGTAATTGGTCTCATAATTCATGTAACGCATGGTATTTCTTAAATTATGTTATTTCTCTTAATTGGATCTAAGCTGACAAAATTTATCTTTGAGTGAGTTGGTTGATTAAAGTGCCGGACTAATTCCAGCTTTGTTAAGAACCCTACCCTAGGTTAATCACCGAATTTTCGCTCATCGAATCAGCACCAAGTGCGTGAAGTGGAAGTGTCTATACCAGATATGTGGAAAACTGCAAAGGGGAGAAAAATATACATAAAGCAAGTTATTAAGCCGTGTGAATAAATCAATATGATCATGAGAAACAAATTGTGCTCGCATATTCATCCAATTATTAATACTGTATCACTGCGTGTTATATATCAAATAAACTTTTCTCATATACTGAAGTGAATCACAAAACCACTGTGAGCAATGGCAACGAAATGAACAAATTATTAGAGGAATACAAATATATGAAAAATATAAATTAGGCCCAAAGACAGGATGTTCAAGTAATTGTTGGATGTATTTTTCCATTTCTTCACACTAAAAACCAATAACACTGATTGCTGTGGTCACCAAATACGATTTGGTAAATTTAATCTTACAATTTCAACTGCACTTAATACCAAACTAAACAATGCATTACTCAACACATGCACTTTCCTGTCGATTGGGAAGATGTAGTCACTGTACAAGACGATGAGAAACTTATTAAACTCTTAATGAGACTTTGAAGGTAGTGATCACATTATGCTGTTAAACGTTAGCAGTAAAATTGTTATTTAAAATTTCAAACGACTTACTTTTGCTGTATGTATACATAACCGACTAACCCACAGATACGAAATATAAACGCGTAAATGTGTTTCTAACTCTGGTTGGCATAGTTGATTTGCAATGAACATAGCAATCTAAGAACGTAAATTAAAATGAAATAAGTAGAAAAAAATATGTTCACTTTACTTCAAACGATACATTTTATCACATTATTGTATGAGAAATGTTATATTAGAAGTAATGACTGCTGCGTCGCCAACCACATACGTGGTTATGGATTATAAGTGACTAGTGAAGACATTCACACACTCAACTGACAGGCACTACTCCTGGTGACTGCAGTGAAATGACGACTCGGTTACTGAGTTGGGTGTTGTAACTCAACTGGTAGAGCATTAGACTATTATTTTGGAGGCCACTGTTATGAATTCAACCGCTTCCCATATTTTAGCTTCACCTTCAACCGTCACTTATCACATTATTGGCAGTCCGCCAACTCAAAGCTATCGCAGATAGTCTTACCACTAAAATATTATATAAGTATATTTTTTGTTGTGATCATGTCCCTTGAGTTAGGTGATTTGAATGAAAAGCATGCATTCCAATTCTAGGCATATTTAACGCTAACTTTAATGTGAATAGAGTCTTTTGAATCTCCCATGATTGATATAATTCTTTCTCGATGGCATTAACTGTGTTAAGTTGTCTTCAGACTAGGTCAGTCAGTGAAAGGACCAATCAGAATACACATGAACAGGACGATAAGAATACCACTGAATAAAACTACAGTCAAATTAGTCAAAACGGTGACTGTTACATCATTCATGGAGAATTCCAAACACTCACGAAACACGGAAATCATTCCTGAAGATGCTACCCGTAGAATGACAATGAAAGTTTCTCGATCTAAGCAGATCAACTCAGAGAACATAATCACGTAAAACACATTCACCTGATCCATCAATCTTTATTATATCAATGTTTGTATTCAAATAAGACAGAACTACTGTCAACTACAAGTGATACATTAATAAACATCAAAACATTTTTCCAGAAAGATAGAGCATAGCTCATGTTCTGTGAACAGTTAGTAAAAAAAATATTTAATAACTGATATTCGTTGTTCAAGTGATGGCTCTCGTAGTCAAAATGGCCTAGCAGCTAATGCTCTGACGTTTTAAACGACGGGTGGAGGGTTTGAGTCTCAGTGGACTGCAGGTACATACAGCTGACGAGTCCCAAGTAGGATGAAAAGCATATTGTGGATTAATTATTATTTTTTACTAGTTTATTGAAGCAATTTAGCAAATTAAACCATTCCAGTCGGTCAGTTATTCAGAACGTATTTCTTGTGTACCAGTCTATAAGATACACATTTTGTGGGGAGAGGCTAATGATATTTTCCAGTTACCGTCAAGCTTGAAGTAACCGAATTGGGGGGTCGAACTCGGCTATATTTCTGCCTAATTTGTAAAACATTTGGGCTAACTTTAGACCAGATGGCCTAGTTAACTGTGATGAACACGAAAATCGTGGCGTCAAGCCTTCCAATGAGCTGATCTTATATAATATCAAATATTAGACTACATTTCACCACGGTGAACATTAGTGTAGAGTCGTTTGGCCTGGTAAATTTATTGTATGACAAAACTGGTATATCCCCAACGGACTAATCAGGCAAGGTCATGGCATTATTAGTTATCTGCTGACATCTATGACAGCAGTAGTGAGTGGCTAAATTTGACAATGTATTCCATACCTACATAATACATGATCCATAAATGAAATGAATGCATGTGGGGAGCCCACCCCAGAGGCTTGGTACTTGAGAACTAACACAATTCAACTGATTAATTCAGCATCAATCATGAGGAGACCTGAAAATGACAGAAATTGTCAGGAAAAAACTCCGATAATTAGAGCAATGCCTCAAAATTGAGTCATAAATTCTTATGCATTGTTTGCAGCTTAAATTAATAAAAAAAACACAAGACTGCAGCCAATTTAAATCACTTGAACAATGCAGTCGGACATGGAATATTCAACTACTCCAGTCAAATGAAAACACAAAAAGAAAGACGATATTCAAAATGGAAACATATCAAACTTGTTATAAATCTGACTAAATACGCGATTTACTTGAAAAAAAAATTTTGACTAATATCTTGGGAAGAAATGTATCACAGAACTAGACGCCTGACTGGAAATCGAGAAATTACGATGAGCAGTAGGCGATCAATTACACAAATGTGAAACAGTTACAATAAAAGGAAAGTTAGAAAAGAAAAGATAGAAGAGGAAATGAAACAAACGGACTGCCGTGCATAATAGGTATTTACAAAATTGTATGAAAAATTAAAAATTAACAAAAATGATTATTAATGAAATTGTTTATTTTCAACAGACACAATAAACTGTGAAACTAAAAGTCGAACAAAAAATACGCCTTTCGTATAGATAATTGTTGAGATTAAAATAGCTATCTTTAACGTGATTATTATTTTTTTCAATTGTCTAATGAACTTTCATATCTTTCGAAATACATTTGTACTTTATTTCTCCTTACATCAACAACTCTAATCAATTAAAAAACCATTGAAAACCAAGAAGCCCTCAACAGCTATTTTGTGTCCACGTTTTGAACTATTCAGCACTACACATTCACGAATCCCCCAGAGATCAAGGTCAGAGCCTTCAGATTATAACACGAGTGCCTTGACTAACAGAACTGTTGCTAATCATCTCAAACCAGTGATTCTTAGAGTTTCAGTGATTCCACATAGTTAGATTGCACTTTCCCGCGAGATCCAAACTAACCATCAAAGACTTCATGAGGTGATGCCATGATATCGTTTCCCCACCCCTTAGTCAGAATTTTTAACACATGCTACTATATGATTCAGAGGTTTGGTGTACGCGTCATGGAAAGCATTTGCGACAACCTGCTGCAGACCTTTATAAACACTTGTCTCTTTGCTCGATAATGTGGATCAGATGACTGGCTAGTAAGGACAACCGACAAGGTACTTTGGCAGCCAACAAACTGTTATCTACCAAACAAATAAACAGGGAGACAACCGCTGAGTGGAATTCAAATGGGTAACATGACGGACACCATGTGAAGAGGAAATTAAAGCTTGTGGGGAGCTATGGAGCTAGTTGAGAACTGAATGGAATAGAGATAGACCGCTGAAGCTGTATGTTCCATTTAGGACAGAAGGAACGAATAAATAATAATTTTCAATGAGAAATGTCAGAAAACATTTTGTTTTGTTTCATTTTAATGAATGGTCACAAGTTAAAAAAACTCGATAAATTTTATGATTTTCTGCCACTCATCATCAACATGACAATAGGGACTGAAAGTATTCAACTACGGTGCCTGAAGTTGATTACACAGAAAAACAAAAACACATAACCAAAACGAATGTCATAAACAACTTCTTAATGAATTGTATTGTCAAATAACGCACAGAATCTACATATGAACCTTTTGAACTTCTGCCGACTAAAAAGTGTACAATTACTGTTTAGCATAAACATGAATTATTATTATTATTATTAATATTATTAGCAGCACAATCAGCACCAACCAACAATTAATAAAATCGGCAACATAAATACATGGTATAGGCCTTCAGAGGAATAATTTAGATTAAATTAGCCGTGTGAAGTTAACAATAATCATTAATCAGTGAATGCATGGTGGTTAATCACGAATAAGTTACATGATGGACAGTAATTAGTATATTAATAGGCGCAAAAAAAATCTTGTTGTTTTCAATATTTTAATCATAACCTATTCATGTCAAAACTAATGTTCAATAGGAAAACTTGCAGCCAAATAGTAACCTCTCCTACTTGTCTTGTTTCTTAATTCTACAACCACTGTACAAATAACACTCTGAAGATACAGACACTCAGTGTTTGACCGAAATCCAAGACAAAATCAAACTGTTTCACATAAATTTATATCGAATCCAAAATTGTTAAAAGAACTGCAAGATGTACTTTGTATTTACTCCTTGTCGGATTTTGTAGTAATAATACGACTACCGCGAATTCGTTCAGTTTTTCTGACTGCTATAAGACCAACTTTATGACCAATGCGATGCATCACATCGGATAGTTGGTTGTTTACCAATGCGTTGGCGATTACCAGCAACATGAGAATTTTCAGAAGGGTTCATTGCTACACCCTGAACTCTAGGACAACAATGCCTTTTAGCTTTGTACTTTTGATAGGCACGATCTGCCTTCAAGATCAGCTTGTCTACTCGGCCACCATCTGTAACGAGACGAACCTTTGGACAGCATGCTGAAGGTGAAATTTCCTTGGCTCTTGATGGACGTTCAACCCGGTTGCGCTTTTTGTCAGGATTATAGGCAACAACTATGGCATAGTTACCACTTGTACGAGACAGTCTCCCGCGATCCCCACGCTTTTCTTCAAGATTGCAAACCACTGTACCTTCAGGCACAAGTACCAATTATGAGAATATTGCCAATCTGAAGTTTGACACTCTACTACAATATACAAATTGATTAGTGTGTAGGGCTTTCCGCAGCATTGAATGTTCGTTTGATCAGTTTGCAAGAGTAAACATCCCTGGAAGTGAATTTAGCTGGTGGAGCCCCTCTACCCGGATCGTGAATTATTTCCCTAACCACAACCTCTGACGCCCGAAGAGGTCAACTGGTCGCAATCTAGATCCTTTGCTGTGTTTAGTATGTGGTTTGAACATACCACCATCCTTAAATTGACCTCTAATAATCTTCTTATCTCGCATGCCAAAGGAATTCAATCGAAAATAAACTAAACCAGCAAAGTGAAAACAGCTCTAAATGTTAGTGTCAATGGAAGTGAACATTGAACGTTTGTTTTATTGGAACTGGCAACCATTGGCGGGCAATTGAAGGCGCGAATGGAACGATCGCTTGCAAGTTGAAAGAAGACTGGAGTTAAATACGAATAAAGGTACTTTATAACTTCATTTGTACTTAACATTTGTTTGTAGACTTTGTAGTTTTCTTCAATTTAATTGCCAAACAATATAATTTCGTTCAAGGAATACTGGTGTTTTGGATTTAAAGTAGGAGAAAGTACATAGTATTTATCGGCTCAATCGCCTAAGTCATCATTACGATAGGAACTTAGGGCTAAGTTCCTTGACAGTTGGTTTGCAGGGTTTAAAGTAACATAATGGTTTGATGTCAGTTAGAGAGCCACTAACAATCAGCGAAAGACAGGACTGTTTCGTGCAATCTCGGGGCCCTCCATCAGTACGCACGCATGACCCCATTAGAAAACCCAATCCATGGTTTTTAAGTAACGAGGAGACCCCACTGACTATTCAGCCACTAGGTGGTTGACTATAAGACGAAGCTGTTTAGAGATCTACTGAGAAGTCATGGCCAGTGGGTTACCCTGAGTAGGGTGTGAGAACAAAATATTTACTGATAACACTGGTTGGCAGTGGCGCTAGGTATCACGAATCCGCTGAACGGTCGACAGGCCTATAAGCCCATGTACAAAATAGACTTGGGTGATGTATTTAAATTATTTGAAACCGTAGCCATAAAAAGGTCTAAACTTGTTTCGTTTTCAAAAGTTATTTCTTGTTAGTGTGAAGCTGCCTTGGTAATCTAACTTAGAAACCGAGGTTTATTTTGCCGGACGATATTTTCACCCTCCTTTTTTTCTTTCTTCAATCTGCTACCTCTTATCCGTGATCATAATCCGTAAACATTTGGACATTTATTATTCTAGTTTCGATCTCTTTATATTGTGTTAACTTTCATATAAATATGTACGACAAGTCCGTGCGTTTGTGATCACAATGACCGAAATGTGTTGCGCAAATACACATTACAAGTTTCAGACAAATTACGTTTTCTTATTGATTTATCAAAACTTATTGGTTAACAATGGTTCTCCAATTAGTATTGCTTCGTGATGTAATCTGCCTTGCTATATCGCTATTGAAATGAGTTATCGAACACCAAAACACTGTCAAAAACTAATCCGCCAAAATAAATACATCCCATAGTTTAATGAACAGGGAATTGAGCCCAATTAAATCGTCCCAGACTAAAAATCGAAAATTATTCTGATGCTATCTGATGACTGACTATAGGATGAAATTACTTGAAGTTCTGGGGTTCAGGGACACATACTATCGAAGACAATGGCCAGTGGTAGTGCTAGAAACAGCGGATTGACTGGATTCATGGTCTATCTGACTCCATCCTAGTGGCTAAATGACCAACGGGTCCACCTCGTAACCTGAAGGTCTCTGGTTCGATGCCATTATGAAGTGATAAGTGAGCACTCAAGAAGAATCCCAAACCAAGACAAAACAGATGTCCAAGACCCCCTGGTTTTCAACTGTTACCTAACTGATATCAACCTGTGATCAAAACAAATCAAATCCCTACTAATTAACACCTGGAAGACTGTTTTCTAGATAACTTCTTCAAGTTCTAACGTTATACACCTCCCTAACAGTTAAAGAATAATTCTTATTGATGACGTTAATGGTTTTTAAATAACATAGAATTCTGAAGGTCGAAATTCCAAGAGGAATATGCAAACAGATTGTTGATGCATTACAGATCAAAGTATATGGGTGTGATAATATGCATAAATGTTGAAAATCAGATTTGAAAAGTAAATGATCATGAATAAAAACTCAGGTATGCTAAATAATGAATGCTCTTGATAAATATTTACACTGAGTTTTTTATTCGCTCTAATTATAAACTTCCTATAAATGGATGATATATACATATATATTACTGAAAAAAATTATAAGAGATGGGGGAAGTGTATACAGACCAGACAAAAGGTCACCTCCTAGACGGCATAGTGAAATACGGCATTTATGGAATTACAGATAACATACCAATCACTTTCAACGGGAGAAAATTTCACTTTTCTGGGTAATATCGTATCATTTACAGGCAGCTGACACGGATGACAATATCAAAGACAAGATCGCAAAGACATACCTTCATTATTTGGAAAACAGGCTGAAAATTACTAGGTATAAAGAACGAACGAGATTTGAATTTTCAACATCACTGTCAAGTTAGTTTTTCTATATGGTTTAGAGAGTTGGCATTCTACGAAGAGCATTTCCAACCAGTTGAAAACTTTTGTCAATACTTGCTTTCACTGCATACTAAAGATTAGATGGACGACCAGAAAGGATACGAAACGAAGAACTCCAGTAAACAAACAATCTGAATGGGAGACAACGAGTTGACCCTCTGAGAGAGGAGTTAATGTGAGTAGGAGATGAGAGTACATGAGCAATTGTGGAGTCAGTTAAAGAAGAATGCAGAGTACAGGAGAAGTAAAGATGTGTTGTTGGAGCCGTATGTTTTACTCAAAACCTGAGGGAGTAATAATAATGCAGAGGCCAGATGGGCAGTAATAACTGTATAGAAAGTTCTGTTTCATTCAAGCCAATTACTACGGCTTTTAATGTCTGGAGTATTTGTTACTTGGTGCCGTTTAGAAGTTTATTCGCTACATGATAGACGATAAAGTAAAATTCGTTAATCTCGGTCCTTTTGGTCCAGATGTGCTAGTATTAAACTGTTAGTACCTTTTATTACACCTTTATTTATTACCTACACTGGTAACTGATTTCGAGCAACGGTCGGTGTAACTAGTCCTACAGGAGCGGTAGAATTAATCATAGATACAGGAAGAAGTGGTTAACTTAGGCACTTCATCTTTCTGAACCAAAATCGCAACCTTGTTATCTGATGTTTAATTTAGTGTTACATTTATGCATTTTATCACACACACACACGCACACACTTTCTAAAAACTGTAATCGAGAAACAATCTATTCACATATACCTCTTGGACTTTTCATCTTAATGACTGGATGTCATTTAATACAAAATATTATTGTTGCCAATAAAAAATATACTTTAACTATTATGGATATGTAACTGCAGAACCTGAAGAAGTTATGGAAAATAGTATATTCCTTTTTATAGTGTATACACAACGAGGGGGCTTGGTTTTGTAAATGGCAATCGTCTCAGCATATTTCAGTAGATGTTCATGACAGTTTCTGCACGACAAAGCATAAAGTTGATCTGAATTGTAAGATACGTTTTCCAAACTTCACACAAAATTCCATCATGGAAGCATATTGAAATGCACGCTCAGGTAAATCGCTTCTTTTTTCCTTCTTGTCCGAGTGGAACACAGGACTTCAAGCTTCAAGATTTCAGGTTTCAGTAGCAGCAGTGTTGACGTTCTTTCTCCGGTTGGCGTTGCTAGCCTCAAGCCGAAAATTCCCTCTTATTAGTTCTTACTAAAGGCTAGTTGAAGTTTACGAGAAAGTCAGCTGGAAATCGAACCCAAACCTCCCGCGTGGTCGACAAGCATTCCTACCACTGAACTATTGACGCCAGTCGTAGGAATTCGCAAAATTAAATCTTTCCCGACCTCCGTATTTGGACGTACAAAAACAACTTATTGTACCACTTAATCTACAATGGTGATCCTGGTGATGACAGATTACTAAGTGTAGTGCTATTCATTATTCTTGTTATATATAAATCCCCCTCATATTTTGTTGATTCAGTGTTAACCATAAAAACAGAAGGCGATGAAGTACAAAACAAATAATTTGAACTCACATCGTGTGTTCGTATTGAAAATTTCCCCGGTTTTGTGATTGCACCAAATGTATTACTGTCTGGATCAATTGACGGATCATTTGACAAGCATACTGTAGAGAAGGGGCATGTGAAAGCAGTTAAAGCACCCATAGCATGCTCACGAATATCATCTAACCGACTAACATCAGCATCTGTATAATTACAGAAAGAAAACAAAACATGTTATGGATCCCGTTTTTAATTTTTAAACACTTGATGTAAAACTTATCTTTCATTCAAGTATATATGCATCTACTTATCTGAATGAATCCGTAAAATCTTATCAGTATACTACGATGCAGTTATTATTAGTACATTCAGGAGAAACAACCAGCAATGCATAATATATTTCGGTTTGAAAATCGTAACTGATTTATCAAAAGTTAAAAAGCAGTATATTTTCACATGAAATATATGCCTCTACAGAGTATTCTGGTACCGTGAACATTCCTTCGCTCGATGGGCGGCATAAATTACTGAATATGGGAGTGGTAAGCATTCGGAAATAACTTCAATGTAGATTTCGTCAAAAACCGACATGATTTAGAAAAGTGGTCAAATCCAAGGGGAATGGAACACTTCTTTCTTCCTAGTTTCGAACTCCTCAACATTGTTCATCGATGCCTAATGGCTTGATGGTCAACAGGCTTGCGCCCTAACCTAGATTCGATTCCCGTTGGCATCATGGGTGCACACTGGTGAAGAGCCCAGAACATATATATATGTACATATTTGTTATATTTTGTTCCTTTACATTTCTGGTGGAGCATAGGGTTTCAAGACAGAGCTTTCAATTTTCAGTAGCAGTGGTTTCGTTTTCTACGAGGTGGGGTTACTAGCCTCACGCCCAACCTTTCCGCTTACCGTCCTTACTACCGGCTTAGCAAGGTAAAGGAGTGCGTTGACCAGGGATCGAACCCGAGACCATATGCGTGGTTAGCGAGCGTTCTACTGCTGAACCCCCAACGCCCATATATATATATATATATATATATATAATTGTCCTAAACTAGTTAACAACCAGTATTTATATTTTGGTCGGTGGTGACTAGCAGTGAAACCTAAAACACACCCGTATTATGAGCCAATATATCAACAGAGGTAGTTAACAGACAAAACTTAAGTAAATAGTTAGTAATTGTCAATATTAAACGTAACAATCGCATAATATTTCCGTTATTGCTTTTATAACTATAAAACAGAAGAATCCCTGAACGCATTTGTGTCTTGAAGCAAATAGCTAGAAATTACTCATCAAATTTCCTAATGTTGTAACAAGAGGAAAAATTGACTGGAACTCTGAACTTTCCAACCAACAAAAACAACCGTATACTAAGAGTTGTATAAATTATCATAAAACTGTCAACATTTTTGCAGATTTCTTGAACTACTAATAAGTAACTAAACATTTTGAGCGGAAATAATTTCTTAATTTACATATCCTGATATACGTTTCTTGAGTCTCTAGTGGAGTGTAGGGATAATGTCGAAAATCCCCATTCCTTTCGGCTCTCTGTGATCAATTCCAGCTGGATTTACAAGTGACTACATACATTAATTTCCTCTGCACGCATAATCTTCTCCATGTCGCTCTCGGATCCACACCCTACTAGTCGCCACCCTTTCGGATTCCGCTTGAGTTCCTGTCGGGTGTGTGATATCAATAGGTCTCCACAGTACGTATCTAATCAATTCTCATTTCCAATGGCATATTTGTCGATCACTGAGGTATAGTGGTCGCTGTTAATCTCCTAGAGGTTTGCATAGGATACATTCATCGCTTTCTAGGGGAGAAATCAATAGACCTTCTCTAATCACTTCATTAAACACCAAATGCTTTTATTTGGCTCTATGTTGAAGAAAAAGACTTATTGCTAGAAAAAAATATTTTGTAAATACACAAGCAAGTTAAGATCACATTTGTCCCAACAAAAAAACACGCCAGCTAAATGCTACAAGCACCGATCACTATAAACGGAAGACATCTAAAGGAAATCAATTCACTTACTTATCTAGGTGGCATCGTTCCAATTACAGGTGGCAGCACGGGTGGGGATTCAAAAGGCAGCCAGGATCAAGAAAGTAGGACAAACCTTCACTATTCTGAAATCAGTTAGGAGATCTACTGCACTCAGCATAAGGAGACATATCCGTATCTCCAAAACTAGTAACAAGTAAGTCAGTGCTTCCATATGGTTCGAGACTTGCGGCGTCACTAAGAGCGTTTTCAACATTCTGCTGCAGACCTTCATCAACTCCTGCCTCGGCTCCATACTGAAGATCAGATCACTTGATAGAAAGAAGAAACAACTAGCAACTCTGGCAACGAAACAACCAACAACTTATTGCCTAACAAACGTGTTGCATGAGATGGAGACAGAGAGGACATACGCTGAGGAGACCGTTGAGTGAAGTCACATATCAGACAGACCCTCCAGTGAAACTCGAATATGAAGAAATGAATCAGGCATGGATTAGAAGGCGGCGTCAGGGAGATCATTCGAAGAGGAAATAAAACTTAAGGGCGGATCTGGACTCAACTTAATAGGACTGCAGAGAACAGGATGAAATAAAGATGTGCCGCTGAATCCTTATGTCCCACACGTAGCCCAAGCGAATAATAACAACACGCACCATATTGGATATCTCTAGAAACCAATGCAAAAAAGCAGTTAACTACGACACTAGAAACCGAAAAAATACTACTGATTTCTACATTATAACCTAATAGACACGAACTGAAGCGCTTAATAGAATGCAGTCAGCACATGTGTACAATTTGGTAAGCGATTTAAAAATAAAACCAAAAAACCAAAATTTACCAGCTATACTATACCGACTGACTGATGGCATTAGTACAAGAGTTTTTATAGTCTGTAGATGATGTTTTTTCAGTTCAGCGAAGAATTCTTCAACAATTGATGAAGGTCTCTCAACCATACGTTCAATTAAATAACGAATGCACTGTGGGTATAAAAAGAAGGGGAAACAGAGAGAGGTAAGTTAGGAGAGTTTAGATGATCCACATATACGTAGTTTTAAATTAAAATGATTATTGCTAACAGAGCCCATTCTTCTATCTAAATACAATTATAACAGGTTTGTTCTTAAGCTGACAACAGTAAGAGAGCCATTGGGAAACCAAGGAGTATTGCATAGTAATTTCGCAGTACGTACGTACACCCCACCGGCAGTGACAGAACATAATAGCTTCCTGTTATGAGGTGAACATGTAGACCATTCAGCCACTGAGACCCGATCCGATGGCCCATGAGTTCCAACCTTTTCCAATCCTTGATATGTAGCGTAATTACGAGCCAGTGTTATCAGCGAGTAACTGTTCTCATACCTGAATTGGCAGACATAGGCATTCCTACCGGCGTCCAACAATCATTATATTTCTTGACCTAAAGGCGGCACTCTATTATGTCGACCAAGAGGTTCTCTGGCGATGCTTGACTGTAAAGAGAATGGCAAGTTTCGCATATGCCTATTTACGCCGTCTCTGGCGTAGACAAGGTATCCGACTATCGACCAAAGGGCGTGTGTACTGCTCATCAGTTCTCTCTGTCCTCCTTTACGGTTGTGAAACCTGGCCATTGAGAGTGGAAGACATGAAAAGGCTAGCTGTCTTTGATCATAGGTGTCTGCGTTCTATTTCCCATGTGAAGTGGTATAATAAGGTGAGCAATATTGAGGTTAGGCATCGAGTGCTAGGTAAGGAGGGGAAACCAATAGACGAGGCTGTGAAATTACATCGACTGAGATGGTTAGGACATGTGTTACGTATGCCTGGTCATCGCCTTCCTCGACAACAGGCAGTATTAGCTGATATAGGGTCAGGCTGGAAAAGAGCTAGCGGCGGTCAAACCAAAACATGGCACCAGTCAATAAAATCTACAACAGTTAGTCTAAGCCACGTAGGAAGGTGTAGACTTCCTAATTGGGGTCCTCGGGACGGTAAAAACCAATGGTTGGAAACAATTGGTGACATGGCTCAAGATCGTTCTCAATGGCTGGCTCAGATGCATCCACTCCTTGTGACTTATGATTTTCAATGAAACTATATTGTTTTTCGTTATTACTATTCCTTTTTCTCACACCTCTGTTTACTTTCTCTAATATGCATTTCTCCTACTTTCTTCTCTTGCTTTGTGTGCTACATGGATTGTGGCGACTTGAACTGCCGCACATCGGTGCAAAGTTCTATGTCGAAAACAGACAGACAGACAGACCTCACTGGTCACTACATCTCACTAGAACTCTGGGTAACTTTCTGTATAAAGCCAGTTTCACATAGTCCTCTAACTTATGCCACCTCGTGATCAAACCCGTAACCAATCAAATCCCTGCAAACCAACACTTGACAATTATACTAGCTTTAAAGCTAGTTTACGGACTGATAAGATTTAGAGAATCACTGAAAACAAGGGAATATTGGACAGATAACTGTCTCATCGTAGTTTGGGACTCCTCAGCAGTAGGCACTTATGACTCCACACCAAGGATTGAACCCGCGCTTCTGAGCAGATTTACTCAGAATGGTTGCAGATATTCGAGATGAATTACTTGTTGGGGGTTAAAATACCTTCCATTATTTGATACCGAACTTATAGTGCATCATACAGCTTGGATAGTGTCATACCAGCTAGTTTGGTGATTGCACTAACCATCTGATGATCTATAAATCTGTGTCGACACACTCTAGATTAAAAGAGTTACATTTAGTTACCGTTTGTCCAATAGTCCTAGAGAGGGTCAGTCGCTATTTTATTCGTGAAGTCTCTGACTCTAATATATAATAATAATAAAGCCTTATTTCAAAACATATGCGGACACATAGTGCAGTCATATTTAGCGCATTTAGTCCCAAAATATTTCCCCTTCATACACGATTTACACGTAAAGCAATTATCTGAAGTAAACATGTGACATCGAGTTGTTTCATATGAAGAGAGGACCAATTTTGTACATTTTTCCTTCAATTCCTTCAAAAATTGCATAGCGTACAGTGGGAAACTAATTTAATATGCGCGCGAGCTCATTTAGTGGTCATTTGATATAATTGCACGAATAAAACAATAAGAAATTCAAAAGAGTTTAAGCACTTTGATGGATGGAAATTCTGATAGCCCAGTGATTTAAGCAGGCTGCCAGTATGTGTGAAGAAGATTCAATTGACGAAATGAACAAAAGATGAGGTTTCCACAAATTTATAAACACGCCCTATTGATAAATACCAAGTAACAGTTCAAACGACTTATAAATTGGAAATCGACTACCTAAACCAATCACCTACAGATAAACACTTTATTATGCCATTCACACATCCGCACGCGCACACACAAATAAACAGAATTAGGTGAATATTCTCTCCTTAAAGGCTGAATGACTCACAAGTAAAGTTTGATCGCGTAAATGCAATTCCTTATCACATTCCTGATTCACAAGCCGTGGTACAAGTTCAATAAAGCAAAGTGCGTGTTCAGTATAACTTTGTAATCTAAATAATCAATAAACAAATTAGAAAATGTGTAACAAAAACAAGAATGAGTTAAATTAACCACTTCTGCTTATATATAATCGATATAAAGGTAGATTGGAGATATGATTCATCGGCTTAAGCAATCGGTGTACAAGCAACAATCGTTAATAAAGCAGGATTTAATGAATTTATCAAATTTCAGAACTCTTCAGCTGAATACTCTGTATACAGGGATATATGTATATATACTATTGGAAATACATTGGGAGATATAAGACTAATAAGCAAATAAGCTACATTGGATAAATCATGCAAAATGACAGGTGTTGAATGTTCTCCAGGTTATATTCAAATACATAAAGGGAAGGAAGTATGAGAGATTAAAGTTAAGATAAGAGGCATTACGGTTCAATCACATCATTGAAACAATTAGTCATCAGAGAAAGGACTTAAATATATCAGGAAATGCGAACTGAACAATGTTAATAATAATAATAATAACAATAATAATAATAATAATAATGTTACAACGAGTCAAGATAATGCTACTGATAAAAGATAGTTCTAAATGAATCAAGAATAATAGTAAGAGGTAGAATAAAGTATTAATAATAATAACAATTAACAGGTAAAACACATTACTACTACCATTCATTAAATCTTGCCTTATTAACTTTTGTCGCTTGTTTTAAATTTGTACTGGGAAATGTTTCCAATAGACTTACAGTCAATTGATGATGGGTTCGATTTACGCTCCACCTACTTCAGCCTAGGTAACTGGCCGGCATCACCAATCCTTCCTATACGCTAAGTGTGACTGTTAATCTGGTAAATTTAAAATCTGTTCCGGACAACTAGGTTCGGGCTTCTTTCACAAAACCCTGTCAGCTGTAACAGTCGCAGAAAACTAAAGAGCTGCCTATGCACATCAGCTCCGCAAATAAATTTCGCAACATAAAACTATGCACAAGAGTGAGGCAATTCAAGTTGCATTTCGATAACCTTTAACCATACAATCTATCTTCGTAAATGTTTCTACCGATAATAAGCCAGGCTAACAGATCCCAATAAATAAAAGCTGCGAGTGAATTTGTCTGAATTCAGTTAACCAGAACCGAGTGTTGTTTAGGTTAATTTCGATGTAACTGCCTCCTCAGTGAGTGGTAATGTTCCCATTGAGATTCTATCCGAGCACTCATCGTTTCAAACGTCAAAGCCTAATTCACCAGGCGACTAAGCCACAAGAACCACCTCTTGTTTAAATTAATTTGCATTTCGTATTAATTGATTATACTGGACAAGGTGTGGTTTTTGTGGCCAAGTGAATAATGCTTTGCCGTTTGAAACGATAAGTGCTGGGTTAGTCTCAGTGAGAACACTATCACTCACTGGGGGTGGGCAGTTACATCCGGTAGTGGATTCTCAAATGGGACGAGATGAACATGCTTGAACCAACTGCTATTCGGCGTCAACCAAAATGGCTGGAACAGATAATTCCCTCATATACCAAGGGATAGAAGCCACACTTATCGTGTGAAGATCAGTGACACACCAGCCAGTGCCCAGACTGAAATAGGTGGAGTGAGATTTGGAACCATGACCACCAATCTGCTGGAAACTGAATGCCTAATGAAATCAGTTGGTTTTTCGAAGTATCCTTCTAAATGATAACAGTTACTGAGCAAAAGGCTTCACACTTATAATCGTATCGAATATGAAGACTCAGTGATAGCAAGTGACAAAAACCTACACCAATCACGAAATACACAATTACCACCCTTATTAATACCCTTAAATTTAATCACACCACAGATATAATTATCAAAAATATATAACAAGGGCAGTGATGCCCAATTGGACTGGAATTGTGCAAGTCACATGATTTTTAAACCATGAGAACACTTAGACTTTGATTGTACATGTCTGTGTGTGTATACTGTGGTTTATGTACATGTACGTGTAAAGGATTCCATGCCTTCCAGAACTGAAAACATAAATCACGATTAGAATATTTTATTTAACAGCATTTGACCGTGCTTTTTATTCTTGCTGTAGAAAACAAAATATTCATATCTCATTATATTGATTATTAAAATATTCCATATCGATCAATTTTAAAGCTCAAACAGACAAACAGAAACACAGTTTAAATGATATCGACTAAATATTGATTCATTTTGAAAGTGTTTAAAAGCACACAAATTTATGGTTGTTTTTCTTTTTAAAGAAAAAGGTACACGTGAGTAAGTGTAAATTAAGGATTTCACATAAAGCTGTATATTTAAATGAGGCGAAAAAGTGTATGATAAGGATTCATATTTTCTGTAGATTTCGTCACAAACCGACACTATAGTGTGGCAGATAAACTATAGCAGCTCCGTAGATCAACTTTCTACTAACCCTGAAGAACTAATCAGAATTAAGCAGTAATAGAAGTAGCCAAATCGTTAAAAGGATGACTTTAGATCATAGTGTTCTCTGATCCGTTTATATTTCTGATTCTGTTCTCCAATTTACTCCAAAATCCAATTCCTGCAGTAGACCATTCATTCTTCGCAAGCTTCCAGAGAATATACATATTTTAGTAACTCTTGTCAATCCGTTATTCACACAGCAATCAAACACTCGACTCTCCTGGGACTCGTTAAGCAAATCTAGGACAGAATACATAGATCTGATTTGATTAAACAAGTGAATCTAATTGGTTACCGACGGTCATGTGGCTGCTATAGTTTAACTTAGCTACGACACCATAGTTTGAAAATCAATGAAAACCAGAAATAATGAACAGCTCCTTCGTCTTGGTTTGGGTCTCTTCGGTAGTCAGTAGGTACCTTTAGACTACGAAGTGGACATGATGACACCATTCAGTTAGTCACACTGGATCACAATCCGGTGGCCTGCGAATTCCAACTTTGCGCGATATAGTCTATTGATTTTCTCATTGGCTTAATAAAACGCTTAGTAGAATTCAGAGAACAAGTTATTGAAAATGCTTTTTTAACGATCATTCCTTCCATTCTTAGTGGAATATAGAGCTTCAAGCTTTGGAAAACTCAGGAGCAACAGTTTGTGGGAGGGCATCGGCTGGGAATCGAATGTGGACCTCTAGTATAGTTGGAGAGTGTTCTACCACTGAACCAGTGATTCACATAAAATGGTTAGTATTTGTTTGTACTGAATACCACTAGTTCAGTTAGTGATTTGAAGACCATTCAGCGTAACTGTTTGATGCAGGAGTGAGTAACAGTCTATTGTCCAAAGTTCGTGGTTATTATCACATACAGGCTGGAGAAAAGGCAAATACATTGCACAAAGGTTAACTGTACTCGTTGACAATCGGCAAACAAATTCCGCAGATGATTTACGCAGTCATTACTTCATCAATTGCCCGGTATTTATCTGGACAGCACTGAAGTTGCAACTGTGGAAACGGATGACTTAGACCATGCCACAGAACATCAAAATATATCACCTGGACACTTTTACACAGAAGAAAGTCTAATATCTCGCTTCTGTAGGAAGCTTGCGATTTTGACAACGACGTACAGACGATATATATAAGCTTAAAACTCACTGATAGCCAAAGGTAGTGAACACCAACGTAGAAAATAATCACAAAACAGAAGAGGTAACAATGGAAAAACGAAATCGCCAAAAGTGAATAGGGAAGCACGAGATGAGGATAAGTTGAAACAAAAAGACATATTGATGTCACTCAGATCGATTCTGAGCAGTAGTACATTGTACTTAGAGTCTCCAGGCCCTCTATTCCGAATGTTTATATATATATATATATATATATATATATACTGTAACAACTAAATGTACACAAAACAGAACCTGCCAGAGAAAAACTTACACAGAACGTGGGATATTTTGTCGTTGACCAATTTCACTGACAAAATATGCATTCATTGCTATTATAAGATCTAACAGGATCTGTTCATACCACATTTTCTGAAGTAAAAAAGAAAAAAGGAAACGTAGAACAGTTTAATTAGTACAATATGAGAATCATTCACCAACTGTTCAGAAGTCTCTTCAGGGTTGACCGGTTAAGTCTGTAGTTTTTGTACACCACATCATCCAACTAACCCTGAAAATGTGGTTATTATTTCGCACTAACTGCAGACTTTTATAAAAAGCTGAAAACTTCAGTAGCCAGAGTCAGTCAGTGAAGCCTTGAAAGCAGTGGTGAAAACATATGTCATATAAGTCAGTTCACTTTATTTTCAGCTCATGTAGTAATGTGACAGCAAGCCATGCGAAAGTTGCTATTTGAAATAACAATAACCAGAAGTATTTGTTCTCTAACTCTTTTTTACAAGTGCGACAGCTTCAGTTGAAGCACTCCCACAACAAAGATGACCTATACCTCAGATGGATGCTTTTTGATGTGGATGTATTTACTGACCCAGCCGGTATAATTGTGAGGCTTCGATTGTCGTCCAGGATAACATCTTCAGTGCCAACTTCAGTGTGATGTCATTTAACATCGACCCTGGCTGTGTTTTATGTCCTTAGCACTGATATCGACCATCTCATTTATCTGGAATTTCATGTGATTTGTTCTGTATTGGCTGGGAAATCTGATCTATATGAATATGTCTAATTAGGGAAAAATAACCAGAGTATCAGGCTTCTAAGAATTCTCTGGCTTTCTTAGCATATCTCCTGCTTAGAACTTTTAGATTTTCCTAATCAGATCAGTATCCATAGTTGTCAACATGTATTGATTTGAAGGAATGTATTTCGTGTATTTTTGACGATTAGCTTATGATCTCGGATTCGAAATCGGAGAGGGTGTCGACTTTGACCAATACGGTGATGTGATTTATTATGTAGATTGTGCTGATCTTATCTCCTTTTGTGATTGGGTCTTTTGGTCTGCCTGGCTATACATTGACTTACTAGCCACCATTCAATCATATTCCTGATTTGTAATCTACACAGTTAGAGGAGGTGAAATTTCACCACAGTTCTCCTTGGAAACCGGAATTATTCAGATCACAATATATGTCCTCTACTCCATACAATAATTAACAATCAAGAAGGCGAGCATAAATACGTCACCCGATATACTACTGATTGGTTAATGTGAGTAGTTGGATAACACACACGCTAACAAGTATTACTTGCTAGTCAGAACGAAGTGATCCAACCACCGGATAGCTATTTCACCCGTTCGGAGTCATCAGCGATGCACCCGGTTCAATTCAGACTGATACCCAACTACTTATATCAATCAACTAATAGTGTATAGCGCCATGTAGTCACCATTCGATTAGAAGTGGTGATACAAAATGTTGAACAAATTGTGCTTTAAAACTAGACAATCTGAAGCCAGAATAACACATAGTCAATAACACCATCTGTTCCTTTTTCTTGGGAACCGATGGAATAGAACTGTAGCGTACAACTTCGAGTTTTTCTTTGACATACAGCTGAAGCCATCAAAATCCATCTGAAGGAACCGGGACTGTGTTCAGAAGAAATTCGCACAGCCACAGCATATATATATATATATATTACAGTAGAGCCAGAGATAATCTAATTGAAAAGTAAATATTTTTTCGTTCAATCCTCTTATCTTCTTAATGTCTAAATGGGAATCTTTTCCATATTGAAATCGGATCTTTTTATGCATTCATTTGCCTTCCAGGCGGAGCGTACACCTTCAAATCATAAAGCTTCCGTAGCCATGCTGTTTTTATTTTTACAGGACGGCACTGCTAGGCTCACGCCCAGCCTTAACTCCGTACGACACTAACAAACTGATGGCTAGTAAAGCAGACGCAGTTTAAGTTTGTGTCGACTGGGTGCCAAACCCAGACATTTTAAATGGTTCGTGAGTTTACTAACATTAAAAAATGGATATTTCACAACATTTATTTGAGGTTAAAAATTTTTTTTCCAGTGAACACTTTAGTGACACACACACACACACACACACACAAGGGTACACGAAAAGAAAGAGACTGGGAGTGAGATATGAAAAGAGAAGCATAGTTTTATTTTAATGCATCAACAAGGCTGACTCACTTGATGCAATTGTGTACAATTAAGGAAGGATTGCATTAATTTTATCAACTGTACAGGTAATTCTGTCACCTCACAAAACTGTACAATAATTGTGACATCACTGAAATGAAAGTATAAGAAGAATAAGAGAAAACAAAAACTCGGATTTTTTTAAAACAAATATCATTCTTTTTTTGTAACAATGGTGTACAGATTTTAGAAAACTGAAATATCAAAGATGCCAGAGAATTCCCAGAAGCCTAATACTCAGATCAGTCTGTACTCAATAAACACGTCCACAGAGATCAAATGTACCAACCAATAAATGACGTGTTACATGACAATGAAATGACTGATACTAATACATTTATATATATATGTGGAGAATTCCAGGAAACTCACTTCACACTGAATTAAACTCTGAATATGTTGTCTAGGAAGACAATGAAAGCTTCCCAATTAAATTACTTAGCTCAGAGAATAAAACCGCATCGAAAAAATGTCAATGTTCTTAAAAAGTTAAAACAGCCACTAGTTCACCGGATACATGATGCTGATAATCAAAATGTAAATATTTTTCCTGTCTATTCAATGTCTCAGTGTAAATTTTGTCACAAACCAGTATGAGTTAAATATCCCCGCAACACGGGATAGGTGTTTCATCCAATTATGGGATTTTTCAATGGTACTCACCAATGACTCACCTAGGAATCAAACTCAGAACTTCCAGGTTACCTTTCAGCAACACTCGGTTCGAATTCAATGACCCATGCACTCTAACTTCTGCTGATTCGTGATATTCAAAGTTAACTATACAAAATGAGTCCTTTACCACGTCAAAGCCTGGAAAAATTGTTAGCAGAACTCCTTTAATTTTACGGCCGGGAAACAAGAACTTAACTAATTTTACCTCTTCTATATGCAGTTTGACCGCTCCACAGGAGCCAGCTACATCAGGCGTACAATTAGGCATGTCCATCATCGGATTTCCGAACACCATTTTGCATGATTAAGCAAAGGACAAATAAGACCTATTCATAGCTCTGCTTTACCTCAGCTTGTAGGCACTGAACACAAAGTCGAGGTTATCAACGCGTTTAAAATTACCTATCGTATTCCAATTTTTACTCACGAATTCTTTTACATGCATCTGAAGCCATCGGAGTTCAGATGAAGGAGCCAAACTTATGTGTTCAGAAGTAATTCGTTCAACCGCTTTCCTTATCTTCGCTATCATTGCTTTATTGTGAAAAGCTGACAAGTTCCGCCGTCCTCTTACAAATATGTTTCGTGTGTTCTATTCCTGATGGGATAGTTGGTGCGTAGTGATGAAGAGTCCCAGACATAGACGAAACAGCTGTCCAGTGTCTCCTGATTTTCAATGGTTCTGCAGCTGAAGTCAGTTCATGATCAAACTTAACTCTCTTAAACTGTAGAACAAATTTTATCTGATATTTAAATTTAGTACTGCATTTCTTGGCATATTATCACTAACATATGGTTTTCAACTGTAATTCTACTGATTTTAAAAGCTCGATATTATTTTAAAAAAGGTGAGTACTGTCAATATCAATTGCTCTTCATATATAAGGTGTATATAACTGTAGAACCTAATGAAGAAGTTATTGAAAAGAGTATTCTTTGCTCCATCTTTTTGCCCTACAAAACCAACGTGACGGGTCCACGACGAAACGGAGAAGGGTATACTAGTTTAGTGACATTTCATATCTTTTCTTCTCTGTATTAATTCTAGCTAAACAGAAATTTAAATATTCTCCTTTTCCAAGTTTGACCGCGGAGTGATATCAGCTAGAGAACCACTGAAAACCAGGGAGTACTGGACAACTGTTTCGTCCTAGTTTGGGACTCATCATCAGTAGGCACCCACCGGGTTCCGAACACAGGACCTTCTGGTTACAAGGCAAGCTCGAAAACTATTCAACCACTGGGACCCGATTAAATGGTCCATGAACTCTAACTTCTACCAATTCGTGATTTTAGCGCTACTACCAACCAATATCATCGGCGGGAACTCCATCCTTACTCCTGACCGGATGGACCTCACTGGTCACAACTTCTCATTAGAACCACAGGCAACTCCATCCTACAGCCAGTCACCAGCAAGCATCAGATTAATTTTCAAAAGTTGGTTTGTGGGGATTTGGTTCTCCAACTGATATCAATCCGTGGTCAAACTTGACAAACAAATAGAATCCTTACAAAAAAACCTTGAAAGCTAAATATTCCCCTAAATCTCAAAAATTCACAATATTTTCACATTATGAACAAATGAACATATGTAAGATGAAGCATAGATGAGGCTAAAAACTGGTATACGAATCGCAAACTACTTAATCATATAAAAATTCTCAGTCAACTGATATATTTCCACTTTCATTCATTCTTATTTGTCTAATGCAGAAGAACCACTTCTAATTTTAGATTAGACGGAATGAATTCTCTTAACAATTAGCATTAGTTTGTTTTAACTGCTTTTAAATACATTGTATAGATTGATTTCTATTGATTTTATTGTTAAAAACACAAAATCAATGGAAAACATTGATTATTAAGGCATAATGATACAATAGTTTCATTTAAAACTGTCTCGTTACGCACACTTATTTGAATGCATGTGCGCAACTTGGTTTATGTGTACGTGTCTACATAAGTGACTAAACAGATGCAGATGTGTGTGAATAAAAATTGTCTCAGTTTAGAAATGCACTACACAAAATAGTTCCTTTTACGTAAACATAAAAGTAAACTGAACTGGTCCTCAAGTATTGATTTGAAGAGATTTCTTGAGTTTCAAGTTAAATCATAACTGTTTCATCCCAGCCTGGGATGCTCCAAAAGTATGCACCCAACGTGCCAACGCGGGATCGACAATAGGATCTCCAGTTTACGAGGCGAGTACGTAAATTGGCAGTGCAGAATTCATGGAAGTGTCATTGGATTCCGTTCCATTAGCTGAATGGCTAACGAGCTCTGCTTCTAACCTAAAGTTCCTGGGTGCGATTACTGGTGGTGTCACGATTGTTCAATGCTGAAGAGTCCCAAACAAGGACAAAACAAGTGTCCAGTACTCCCTGGTTTTTAGCTGTTCTTTAATTGAAGTCAGAATGTAATCAAACTTGAAACTAATCAAATCCATACAAACCAACACTTGGAATTGAAAAAAGACCAATGGAATCAGTAAAGTAAATTCGATAGCGAGGAATGGTAATTTAGATTGTCAAGGTACAAAAAACATTTTAAAAAATGCACACAAATCCTTATTTTCACAATAGTGAAATGTTCAGCTTTCCTTTAGCCCATTTACAAATTGGGGATATCTTTAAAAGTTCAACAATGAATAAATGCATTACTCTACAACCACTTGCATTTCCATGCACAGTTTGCGATGAGCTAGACACACTTATTACTGGAGAGCTAGTGATGCTATCTAGACTGTCTAAACCCTGGTAGTAGATGGAGCGATGTTCGAAACCGTGACACTGACTGGAAGTCGAGCACCTAAATCAATGAATCACAGCCCCACAATGAACACAGGTTAAACAGAGATTAACTAGTATGGTTTGTTTTCTGTAAGCTTCAGAAAACGATAAAAAGGATTATGAATCGAAAAATATCTGAAATATTGCCTTTTGTGTGACACACGGATGAATCTATTTATAAATTTTATAAAGAATACAATGTTGTGTTAAATCGACAGATTGTTGCAATCAATGTGGTATTAGAGAGGCGCAAGTACTCACTACATTATCAACAAAGCCGTACAACGTTACTACATCACGCTTAAATTTATACGTCTGCAGTGTAAATGATCAGCATTTCTCTTACTAATTTCAACATTATTGCTTCTGTTATATTTACTTTCGTCATAGTAATGTGAAGCTCGACAATTCAGACTTATGTATAATCGTGTCTTATGATACTGATACCCGTTTGACTATCACACAAACACCCACACGCACACACCAGTCTTTACAACACGTGATCTAATTGTTTTATTTTAATCGAAACAAAAGAGTAACATCTAAATAAATAGTAAGAAAATGAACGGAGTTTAAAAGAAAGCTTACCATTTAACTGTGATTAAATTTGTGACTAAACGTAGTAATGTCCTTAGATAGGCGGCCGCTTCAAGTCCAAATTCTGCATCACCTGATAACTCTTTAGTCTGATTAGTTCCCGCAGAAACTGGACGATTATGAACTATAGATGAAGAACGTTCACTTAAAGCTGATGCCCATGGATGTATAGACTTCCAAGCAGCTTTATCAGTAATGACAGAAGCTGAAGCTAATCTTAATGACAATCGTTGACCGAATTCATTATCACAGAGTAAACTGAGTGCTGTTCTGCGTTTAGGCTGTCTATTAATTTCTGAAGAGTGTCGAGTACTTTCTGTTTCACATCCAGGTGGATGAGGAAATTCAATGTCTGTTGCATCAGCTAAACGTTCCCAGGCCTCTGCACTAGCTCGTAACCACCAACCGGTATATTCCATTGCACGATGTGTCCTAGACGATGTTTTGTCGAGTGCATCAAGTGAACTTTGTTTACGAATACCTGAGCGATTGTATTTTACAATACCTTTCTCATCAACACCATCAATAATTGTGTTATCCAACTGAAAAAAATATACGATCGAAAATAAGTTGGCATGACGATGAAAAATATGTTAGGCTGAAACTAATTCATGATGTTTGGAAATATATGATGCATCCACATATATACACTCAATTATTTTTCCCCTATATCTTGAATTTTTATATGACTTAAAAAAAGATTGGTATCAAGAAAAGGTCAGGATCCGGAAAACAATACGCGCAAACGTTCATTTCTCTGCAATTACTGTATCGAGATCAACAGAATTCACTCAGCACAACTAACTAGATCCGAACTTTCAACACATGTCAAGTCAGCTAGTGCTTCTATATGGTTCATCGACTTCGCACGTGCGTCTCCTTAAGCATTTCCAACAATCTGCTGCAGACTGTTACCAATGCCTGTCTGAAGACCAGATGGCTGGCCAGAAAAGGTAAGGAACAAAGAACTTTGGCAGTAAACCAGAAAACAACCTATTTCCTACTCAACAAATAAGCTAAAGCGAATGAAAACGGATTAGACAAGCAGTGAGAAGATACTCAAGTGACAACAAACACTAAATCCTAGAGTGGAATTCAGAAGAGAAGAAACACGTTTGGCGTAGATCTGAGGGCGACACAGAGGGGATCATGTAAAGAAAAGGTTAGTGGGTAGTTGTGGAGCCAGTTGGGAATGAGAGCAGAAAACCGAGCAGAATGGTGGTATGGTGGTCAGGCCTAGTGTTCGACTCAGAACACAAGGAACGAATAGTAGTGGTAATCAAAAAATAGTGCTCAAAGTGTTTAGATATTACTGATGCTAAAGTTTCAGCTGTCAGTCAACCACTGTAAGCAGGTGTATCAGAAAGCTACTAGAACCCGGATAGTATCTTCTTCAGAATTTCATCGAAATCTTCGTTAAGTGACTTCCGTGTCAGTCGATTGGTAGTTTGTTTACTAAACCAATGTGGGAATATCATATAATGGCCCTTATCAGTAAATATTACTCTATAACGCAGTGACACTTAATCAAAATAAAATTTACCCATAATGGTCCTTTTAAAATCTAATTGTTTTAATAATTCATTCAGTCTCTTTCCCATAATAATCTTTATTCTCTTAAATGAAACAAAAAGTGCCTCAATCTTCCTAACCCATGGCTTTTATTTTGGCAGGAAGTTTTCAGCCACATAACGACTGAGAAAAAGGAGGAAATACTAAGTTCTTGTTGCATCAATAAATTGAATTCATAACTGCATGACGCTGTATATTACTGATTGATTGATATAAGTAGTTGCATGCCAGTTACAGCAACCAGTAGTGCTTGCTCGCCAGATCGGAGTGATCTAAACACCGGATAACTGTAGCACTCACTTGAGGTCAAACTCACCAACAGTGTACCCATTTTGACTCGGTTCGGAAATCCGAACTGTGGATAGCAAATGCTACCGGTTGGTGTGAGTGGTGTACGACTACTCCTACCAATCATTCAGCAGCACACAGCGTCAAGCATTTATGCTTGCCTTCTTGCCTGTCACTCATGATATCAAGCAGACCACACATTTTGTGATCTGAATAATTTCGGTTTCCAAGGGGAAGTGTGGTAAAATTCCACTTCCTGGAACAGTGAATATCGCAAATAGCGAATTTGGTTGAGTTTGTAACCCTAAAAAAGTGTCAAGCAAGTCAATAGTTCAGAAATCTGGTTGACGTCATCTATAATATTCGAAATTCCCCAACCAATCAACCAGCATTAACTGAGAAACGTGACGGTAGTTATGTAACGATTTACGATATCTATCAATTGCCCCAACTAAATTAGACAAATCCACCTTGAGCTGTTAGGTGATGATGCTTGAAGTTTGAGTGTCTCAGCTAATGAAACAAATATGTGTGCGCCTGCTGATTCCCTAGTTTGAAATAAGATTTCTTCAAAATCGTGGGTTGACTGTTAACTGAGTCCTATTCATATGCACAAATAAGTAAGAAGTTGAGTGGTAGCTCACCAACCTCGGTAATCGACTTCCGACCATCAGGCCATGGGTTCGAATTCCTCCCAACCACCTGAGGTTAGGACAGCAATACAATAGATGTGGCTCATTGTCCACTGCTCTCCGAAGATGCAAGGGGTCACTGATTAGCGTTCACTAATCAGAATAAGTAATAAACACTTGTTAGTAGTAAAGAAAATTAGTTTATACTATGTGAAAGAAAAGTAAATATCGACTGTTAAAGACAATTTAAATAAATACCGATGAATGTAATTAAGGAAGAAAAAGAGAATTTAACTTTGTCGATAGCTGAGAAAACTATAAGTATTTAGTTAGGGGGAAGGGGAGGAATTAAATAAGCACTTACCAAACGTATATCACTTTCTACAGAATACTGCCTACTATCTGTTTCACTGACTTCTCGATACCTTTGCTGACAACGTTCATGTACTGCATTTTCACGATCATAGTCAGTGGATATTCGATTCTCCCTTGGAGTTGGAGGTTCTACTGAAGTATCTTCAACTTGAGACCAGTCTGGAATTTTCTGAATATTTACCAAAAAAATTAAAAGCACGTGAATTGACTGCCCACTTTTATGTATACTCCACAAGGCTCTTCGCTGTTTGACGACATGTAAAGCGTAACTCTCATGTATTATTCTGTGATTACTATTCAATGAAGGCGTTATGGTGTTTTGCTTTCGATGAATTCTTTTCAATCAGTATGCATAATGAAATGACCTTTCATGTCCTGATCACGGGCTCAAGTCCCGCTCCTCCTACCACTAAGCTGGGCAACTGAGTAGCATCATCGGCCCTAACATGATAAGTTTATAGATCCTAGCGTGGTACGTCAGACATCAGTTCGGAGTAGTTGAATCGAAGCCAAAGTTCCAGTGATGGGGCGATTAGCGATAAAATCCATCTAGCGTTACATCACTTCACTTGGTCAGTGCTATTATTTTGTGTTTAATTTGATATTTTAAGACTAATCATTATAGCCTGTGTAGATTAAGGGGCTTTTAATATTCGAAAGTATGTAACATACTCAGCAAACAACATACACTGAAAATTAAACTTGATGAAGTTAAAGATTAACAACCCGAACAAAGGAAAAAACGAACGAACGCACCAACGACCATGAAATGAGCTACTGCGTTAAACAGGCGAATCTGACTTAGAAAAGAGGACTGCAGTTACGCATAATAATGAATTTTTCAGGATTAAAAAAGTTCTTTTTATCAGGAAAGTGTCTTCAACTAAACATGAATCAATTATTCCTAACTGTAACTTTAAGTTACCTTTAATCAATCCGTTTTGAGGAGATGTGACCCACCGATCTAAGCATTCAAATTACAGTTATGGGTCTCGATTTCGATATCCACATCCACTTACTTCAATCTAGGCAAATGGGTAGTATAATCAACCCCCAAGCAACAAGTGTAGCTTATAGCCTAGTAAATGGGTATACTTGTTCCGAGTGACCAGGTTCAAGCTTACTCGACCATTTTAGAAGCTAAACGCTTTCACGATGCACCATATCCAGCTGAAAGAATGCAACACGAAACATTTTTTCTCCCGAAGTGCAAATCTTAACGGCTGCAAGTTCAAGAACTATCAGAGTACAGTTGTCAGTATTAAAAGTGCATAGTTACAATAAACTTCATTTGTTAGCGTGTTCTGATTATCTTACAAAACCAACTAGAAAACTAAATCTGAATTCTTTTCATTGTTAATTTGACAGTGAGATTATAAGTTCTCAAACATGGTTAGCAGGCTGAGAAATCAAAATAGGCAGGGAATGGGGTGTAACATACCTTTTCTGAATTCAAGGCATCACAGCTTTGTGGTCGCTTATTTGAGGCATTTTGTGCAGTTTGTTCGTTTTCTGCCTTTATATGATCAAAATAAAAGAACAGTAGATTATGTAGTGGCCATAGTGAACATACAGTTATAATGTGTTAATTAGGATACTCATAGACCATATGTTGCTCACTCAAAATACTTTTGAAGTCAGTCTTGGAATCTTTATTGAAGAAATATGATAACTTTGTCTCTATATTTAGTTGTTCAACGGTTCGTACTTCCATGAAGTTACACTCAAATTCTGATAATAGGAATTCTCACTATAACAATGTCTAATGACCTTGTCTGTTTCGAGAAATATATATATATATGGGTTTCTAACACTATCAAGTTTTGTTTTGTGAAATAAGTAACCTGGTCGAAAAGCAAATTTCCAAATGTATTTCTAAAATCTTCAGGCTTAATTTATTTCATTTTTGCCATGCCATATTTAGAAAACAAATTTCATTTACACACTGACTTACTAAGGAACTATTTCTATCTGTCAGTAAACTAAACAGGTACTGAATTCTGCTAAATTTGTTGTACAAACGATTTTAGACCCCTTCTAGTTAAACTCCTTAGACCTTGAGGTTTTTATTTGTATTCTTAAAACTTCGACACACCTTATTTAATATTTACATATTTTCCCTAAAGTTGTGTCATACATGAAAAGAGGTTTCGCCATGAACCGCTATCAGTTAAAGTACCACTGAAAGCACTCAGCAGCTTTTTCGTTCTAATTTGGGACTCTTAAGTAGTAGGTACCCATAACTCCCACTAAGGATCGGACCCGAGAGCTTAAAATTACGGGGCAAGCACGTAACAATTCAGCAGATGGATCAGAATCCTGTGGCCTATGAATTCTATCTTCTGTGAATTCGTAATATATTATCAGTAATGTACAATATCACATACGCGTATCCGTCTCTGTACCCTGCTTGGTGAAATCCAACGGTCACATCACATTAGAACTACAAGAAGACCGTGCTGCAGTCAGTCACCAGTAAACAATGGATTAATTTCTCAGTATTGGAATTTGGAAATTTGACTGACTTCACAGCTGATTTCGCCACATTCATCGTGTTGATAGTTTATCCCCACCATATAAATCAGGTACAATATGGTGTCATCTTAAAATTTCATCAAGACAACCTATAAATAACTTAAGGAATCTTCAATACACTTCCATTGATTGTAAAAGCATTAAACTGGGGTTATAAACTCTACTCACTCCATCATTATCTGCTGAATTCGGTCTTCTAAGTAATTCTTGTTGCTCCTCGATAGCCTTTGTGTGAGATTTAGGTCTGATCATTTTACCTTTCTCTCCTAATTTTGACAATGGAGGCTTATCTGAGACATATTTGGAGTGCCTTTTGTCAACAGCATTACTCTTCATATCTGATCCTGGTGAATCTCTAACAGCAGATTTTCCACGGCGATGGTCCATAGAATCGTCCAGTTTATCTTCTTCTTTAACTTGTTTAAGTTTACTGAACTGGTCACCACCAGCACGTCTGAGCACTCTTGATCCATTAGGTCTCAGCATTAGTAACCTTTGCCTTTCTTTTTCTGCCAGCTGACTTGGCGTCAATGGTTGTGTTAGCGGACTGGAAAGTAAACGCACACCTGGTGAAACTGAAGAAGTGGGAAAAGACAGCAATATTGTATTAGCAGGTTGGAGAACTTATGAGAACCACATAAAGGCTGAAGAACAAGTTGGGAGCTGTCTGTTAGTTCACAGGGCGAGAATATCATACATATACCATGGAAACAAGATTCAAACACTCAAACATTATATTTCGATCATATTTTCAGAATATGCTGAATGAATGTAAGGGGTAACAACAGCAGAAAAGAGCCTAAATGTGCAATAAACTTCAGTAACATGAAAATAAGGGGACGATTTCTGAAAAATACATCCTGCTTATAAAGAAGGCATTTTAAGCTAATCACAAAGTTCCAGGATGCATCAGATATAGAAAGAGAAGCATCCATTACAAGTGCGACCTACTATTATACCGATGGAAAACGAATGTTACAGTCACAAGAATACATTCACAAGGTGACTCGAGATTTACCTTTATTTTAAATATTTTCTACTATTCCCCCGCCTAATGTCAAGCAAAAATGATAAATGTAAGTTTTACTCAAGAATAAACCAGTTAGTTGCGCTGAATTCAAATGAATCTCCAATAACATGTTGAAATTTTGGGGTCATAGTAATGATGGATCATATTACAATGGCAAACAAGTTTAAATTAGGATGATGGTGATACGCTTGATTTCATCAATCCCGTGTAAAATAACCATACTTTTGTGAATTACATATGAAGTTATCTCGCAAACTTCGCTCTAAACGATATAGAATAAGTTATTTAAAATACTAAGCTTTATCAGGAATTGATGACAAAATGTGTCCTTATGAAATCAGTAAGAAAAGAATGAGTTCCGTTTTTCGAGCGGTTATTACCAACAGTTAAAATATAGTCCGTTCTTGTTGTTTCTTAAGTATGTACACCTTACATCTCTTTTAGGACACATATCGACCCGATAGTTTCAGATAACCGAAACCATAAAAAATAATATTAGACTCAGATTGAAATACAAATATTTGTGAAATACATAATAACAAATAGTTTGAATTACGTTACTTTCAATTTTGTCGCAAACAAATGGGTGATCCAAAAGGTCTGGCCACTGCAATCGTTGTCGTACATCTTTTTGAAGTAGTCTCGCCAAAAAGTCTTTGAAAACTGATGACATATCAGGTGGCCACTGAATAGCAGTCTTTGTGATCATTTTAACAAGTTGAAATATACTGTTCGTATAAAATGGCGGGGTGCCAACGAACAATTCGTACAGTATACAGCCTAGCGCCCTATGAGCATACATATAATAAAATTTACAACCCACCAGAGGTCAGCAGTATGATCATAAGGCTTTTCCTCAATGATTTCTGGTGCCATATACAAAGGAGTTCCCTAAAGGAAATGAGGGTCAATTTTGGTTTAAACAAAAACCTTTATAGATGTAAGGACTAGTGTATTCCAACCCATAACTCTAGCGAATCCAAAGTCACAGAGTTTAACAACTCCATCTTGTCCCAAAAGAATGTTTTGTGGTTTCATATCTCTGTGCAAAATGCGGTTTGCATGAAGATAGTAAAGGGCTGACACCAACTGACAGGCCACAGACCTGACCTAAAACAGTAAGTTTCAAGCGACAAAGTTACAGTCTCTTCAGAGAGTCGTCCATCATCCTCTATTATCTGAAAAAGATCTCCTTCTGCATAATCAGTTATTGCAACAACCTATGGTGCTAATATTTCGAAAAATGCAAATTTATACAACCTCTCTTTCTGTTTCGAAAGAGTCCTGCATTTCAATTATATTAGTGTGGTGCATTGACCTCATTATTTCAATTTCCAACTTCAGATTCTTAAGAGCATTTTCACTTTTTCCAACCTTAGGTATAAATTTCATGGCTACAATCTAGAAGCAAAACCAAGTTGGCGGTTACATATTTCACCCAACCTGTCCTGTTTCCTTCCTTCTGCCACGAAAAACACGACCAAATGAGCCTTCTCCAATACATTCCAATACTGTATAGCACTCCAAACCCATCCTTAATCCGACAGCTGCAGGTTGCGCAGGTAAATAAATTTTCAAAACATTACTGAGGTCACATAAGTGAAAATAATCTAACTAAACAATGTGCATTTTGTATGATCCGAAAAATCAGTCAGGCATTCTGAAACACTTGTTCTGCCAGATAACATTATTTGAATTGAGAATTAGCTGAATATATATAACCAACCAAGGGGCTTGCGCCTTAGTAGGCCAAAACGGTCAATATCTCACTAGTCTGGAGATGGCTGAAACATTCAGTTTAGCCTTCGCCAAACAGCTAAACAGCAATGTGGGTATTACCGTTACGAACCAAAATGGTGGCATGACTATTTCACAGGAGGAAGACCAAATAGCCACCCCTCAAATAAACCCTGCAATAGTACTGAGAAAGCTGCAGCGACTTATACCTGGGAAGTCCCCAGGTTGTGATGACATCAGGCCATCTGTTCTGAAACAGTGCGCCGAAGCTCTCTGTAGGCCTTTATGCGACTTGTTCCAACACTCCATGGAATCGGGGAAACTGCCAAAGGAATGGAAAAGAAGCATCCTTTCTCCGATCTTCAAGGGTGGGGATAGGCAAAATCCCACCAGTTATAGACCAGTAGCTCTACTCCCAGTGGTATCAAAAGTACTGGAAAGTATTATTGATGACCACATCAGGGAATATCTGGATAGGTCTAAAATACTCCATGAAGCCCAACACGGTTTCAGGAAAGGAAGATCCTGCGTCACTAACTTATTATCAGCTTGGGACGATTGGACATCATGCTGGGATATGAATGTTCCTGTCCACGTGATCTTTCTAGACTTTGAGAAGGCATTTGACACTGTTCACCATGACCTTCTCCTACACAAAATAAGCCAGGTAGGTCTAGGTAAACCACTTCTGTCATGGTTGAAGGACTACCTAACTGAAAGGCAATTTTGCACCAAGGTCAATCGAGTCCGATCATCTTGGCACAGCTCGTCATCAGGAGTGTCGCAGGGTTCTATCCTGGGACCACTGATGTTCTTGATTTTTATCAATGATTTACCATGCCGTCTAAACTGCCCGACTCTTCTATACGCTGATGACGTAAAGATATGGAGGGCGGTAAAGTGTCCGGAGGACTCAGATAGGCTGCAGGCAGATCTAAGGCTTCTGGAAGACTGGGCGGTAACCAGTGGAATGACTTTCAACCTGAAAAAGTGCAAAGTAGTGAAGTTACGCACCTGTAGACTGCAGAATGCAAGTTACACCCTGTGCAATGAAAGCTTGTCCTGCTCAACGTCGGAACGTGACTTAGGTCTAGTTCTAACGGAGAAAATGGACACAAGCGTGAATTACACGGGGGATGTAGCGAGGGCATATGCGGTCATACACTTTACACATAGACAATTAGGTGCACTCACTCCTGAGCTCTTTCTAAGGTTGTATAAAACATACGTCAGACCGCATCTTGAAGTGCATAATATCATTGCACCCCCACTGCTTAAAAGAGACGCCAACCTCTTGGAAAGAGCTCAACGACGGGCAACAAAAGGAGTGGTTGGTCTCCGAAATAAGCCATATGACGAAAGGCTGAAGAAATTAGGCCTATTCACACTCAGTTACCGTCGCCTGAGGGGGGATTTAATTACTGCCTACAAAATAACAAATGATCAGAATCACCCGAACAAAGGTGTTCTGCCATTGAGTAGGTATAGGCTCCCTCGTGGAAATCCCAGAAGGATAGCTCATCAGAGGGCAAGGACCCGGGTGCGCTCCCACTTCTTTTCCCTGCGGGTTTGCCGTCCCTGGAATTCCTTACCGGCAGATGTAGCTATGGCACCATCTGTGGACGCCTTTAAGCGAAGGCTGGACAACCTTGCAGTGACACAAGGACTGTATCCAAATGGCCTATCCCCTTAAAATCGCATATACCATTCAAAGATAGACAGTTAAACTGGTCGTTTTACTTCTTCACATTCCCTTCAGTCTTACTCTCCTGACAGCTTTAACTACACTTATTATTATTATTATTGTTATTATTATTATTATCATTATTACTGGTATATATTATATATATATATGTATACCGGTTGACTGACTGTTGTTACGTTTTCTTATTTTTTTTCTCTGTCTGTTAGTCTGAATACCTTTACTAATTATATCTATTATTATTATTATCTCTTTTCCATTGACGACGATACCGAAAGACTAACTGGTGAAAGGATCAACTCCATTCACAGTAGTAACAGTCTTAACACACTTCATACTACAGACGCCATATAATTAATCCCAGCACTACTCCTGTTGGAGTCAACCAAAGCTACGGCAGTCGAGTGGCGGGACGAGCTACACAGACGTTTACCAAAGATCAGGAACCTCTACCTTACAATCAAGAGGCGAGCGCAAAGAAATCAAATTGGTTTATACTAGCTCGTAAAAAGATATTGGATATTGGATATTGGATTCTCAAAATCGAGATTCCATCGCTAGAAATATGCGTGGGAAATTGTCATACCATACGGGGTGATATTTCCATGCACTTCAAAGTGGGTTCGCATACAGACTATGTCCAGACGCACTGGCGAAGGAGTGCGTATCTGCCCATTATTGGGAGATGTTTTGTTGTCCTATTCCTAGTGTTTAAAATTTCCTGGATCTGATTGCAATTTATGCGAATCTTCCAGATCTTTTCAGCACCTGAGTAAACCACAGCCAGGTAGCTTGTATGGTATATCCAGCTACTAGTGACCATTAATACAAAATTTACACTCCTAGAATAGAACGTTCTGAGGGTTCAGAGGCTGAAGTATTACCAGATGAACAGACATTCATATTTTTACAAAATTTCATCCTATCAAAGTAATCCTCTAGCCACCAAATAATCGCGTAGGTAATGCGCGCCTAAAGTAATTCGCAAGGAGAACTATTGTGATGAATAACGCCCAGTGTTTTCGTTTAATTAAGAAAGACCATAATGAATCCTACATTCATAACAGAGTATTGTGCCCAATCACTCCATGCTAGAGTAAGATTCTCTGCATAGGATCTGCCTGTTCCGAAACCGTTTTGTGATTCATCAAGTATGCTTTTCTTGTCACTGTATCCCTAATACAGAAGTAAAATAAGCTTTCCAATAACTTGGGCACTGCTGGGAGTAGCGCCACAGGTCTGTGACATTTAGAGCTAAACACATCTACATCCCTGAAGTTAGAATAGATTATGGCTGCCTCCCATTCATTCCGGGATTTTTCTGAGTTTTTGGAGCACTGGAACAAGTGGAAACGCAGTGAGCCTGTGCGTATTATGTCGAAATAGATATCCAAAGGTCATCGCAACCCTAAGGCACGCACTGGTTTAGCCAAAGCAGTCAAGGTAGGACCGTTGTAGGATTTCTTTGGAACAGATCTATAATGTTTCTGGTTCACGGTATGGTGAGGTAGTCTTCTAGGTTGGAAGCAATTTTACTTAGAGCCTTGTCATTATTAGTCAGTTATCTTTCAAAGGTCGGAAAGAACGCTTTGGTTATCTGCATACGTGTGAGATACTGTTCATTTAGGCCATTTGAGATTCACGCCTTTGGGTCTCTGAGTTTTCTTGTCTAAGTGAGTCAATATAAATCCTTGGGGTTCGTTTCGAGAGCACGAGTTGGTTGGGAGGGCGACGTCTGATATAGCTTCGCATCCAATGCTCTCCAGCAGTGCCAAGTGTTCGTTGATTGACAATGGCGGTCAGTCTGTGGGACATACAGCATCAGACCCGCTACAACACGGACAGGATGACTCACACTCTAACTGAATGCGAATTTCAATATCTGGCAATAAATGACCACTTACCAGTTTGTTTCATTTTCGAAAGCGGTCAACCCGATTTCTACTCATTGTCGTCACCTAGTTTTTCCGTCAACATGGTTCTCCTGATGGCTTATGGCAGTGCCATCAAATCCCCTAGTCTAAGGTTAAAGAAAACGCGCTAAAGCCTTCAGATACAATGACCAGATCGTAACTTAATAGGTGCCAGTGCTGTGAATGGTGAGGCAATTCATTGTAGGAATCCAATGAGAGACTGGTTAACTGCTTGTATGAATCCATGTACTTCCTTGTAATCACTGTACCGCCTAAACTAAGTCACATCTCTTAAAATAACTTCTTTGTCGGCAACAGCAGAGTTCAGTTATGTTTCCATTAGCATAATTACTTTCAGATCCGTGTGATATTGCGGGTATCTAATTTAAGTCAGTTTTTCAGTGAGTCCTCTCACGTTAACGGACAGGCACTTGAAGGCTACCCACACCGACTTGCTTGTTTATGGAATGGTTAACAGGTATGAGACTATCTTGCAAAAAATTGCGTTTGAGTCCTTAGGGCGAGTTTGTTACTGAATTTTCATCAAGTCTTATTAACATGTCTGGTCAGCGCTTTCATTTCGCAACGCCACTGACTATGTGCATCGTGTTCTCTGAATAAACACATCTTTGAAATCTTGCTAAGTGCCACAAACCCACCAGGCTCCCGTGGAACTTCAACAGTCCCCTGATGGTTGTCAAGTCGTAGTCCAGGAACTTCTTTTATGACCAGTAAGGCAGAAGGCATTGGTTTAAGTGTGTCTTTACATTTCTGTGCATGCCAATAGCCCGTGAGATTCGATCCTTTGTTCAGAAGTCTCGCCGCCACTGGGACCTCAGAGAGCTAGCCAATAGTTCCACGTTCTTGGGTGCCGAGTGTTGCTATTATTTGTGGTGTCAAAAGTGGTGAACATTGAGTAGACTAACCTTCCGTCTTCTAATACCGCTTGAGTTGTAATCGAGTTGGTTATCATATAAGTAAAATAGTATTCTCACTTACGAAGAGTTGTCATCTGATCACAGCGAACTTTCCTGATAGCGCTATTGACAAGAGGTCTGCATTCAGTTTAATTCACATGTGGTGCTACATAAGATACAAATTCTGACAAAGTTATACAAATAAATCACTCATTTCAAATTAATACCCAATTTGAATATAAATCAAGAACAAAATACGATGCCGCACAGACAAAAGTTATAAGAGGGAAATGACTTCAAGCTTTATTTTTTCCCAAATAT